TGGATATCGCTCGTACCAAAGCAATATGTGCCGGGTCCTGTGCCGGAGGAATTAGGTGTGCCACCGGCGCAGCTTGTTGTGCAGCCGGGGCGGGTGGAGGGTTGGCATATGGTACGTGACCTTGTTGGTCTTCGTATGCCCCTGTTGATAGGCTTCTTCGTCGTAGCCGTCGTATCCGTCCTGTTGCGGATACCGAGCCTGGGCCTGGTCTTCGTGACGAGGCCGTTGTGGCTGTCCTCCATACTGTTGTGGAGGGGGCGCTCGATTTTGTCTCGGCGCCTGCGGATAGAATCCACTCGGTTGGTCGTAGACTCTTCCGTACCGGTTGGGCTGTGTTCCCTGAGCCGGTATCCGACCTTGTATTAGTCGGTGTAGGGGCACCCGACCTTGTTGGTCGGAGCTATCCTCTCCGTTCTGTCCGTCCTGCCGCTGGTCGGTCGTGTTGAATGACCGAGCCCTCGCTCGTTCAAAGTCGAACGGCGGGTTCTGGCGGAGGAAGTTCGGATTGGAGTTCGTCCTTGGTGGGCGATATACTTGTATGCCCGGTCTCAGTGGCGGGACTGGGAGACGTTCGGCGTCTGTTGCTTGGTCTCCTCTCACGTTAGGTACCGGCGCGTACGTTGTTGTCCGCGTCGCGTACGAGGTGCTGGTATATGCACCGGCAGACGTCGTTGTCGCCACGTTCGACGTTGGCACTCGCGGTGCCGCGGTCGACGTATTGTGTTCCGGTTCCGGAGCAGCCGGAACTGTTGGTGGTTGTGGGATTGTTCCCACGCTTGGGTCGGTCGTTACGACTCCGACGAAGTAGGAGGTGTTGTTCTCCTTCTCCGCCATTTGCTGGGTTGGGTTGATTCCCCACAGGATGTCACTGATTGTTCGTGACGGCTGTTGATCCTGTGCCATGGACGTCCGGTATGAGGGAGGTTCAACCCGGCTGTGTTCCCGGTATGAAGGTAGTTCGACCTGGCTTTGTTCCAGGTGCCTCTTCTCTTCCCTCAGACACCGTGTTTCCGTGTCCATCTCGTCCATTTGCCGCATCATCTCCGTTAGATTGCGGGCGGCTTGTTCGCCAAAGTCGTATAGTTCGACTTCGCGGGCTTCCAGGTAAACGATGCGGCCGTGTTGCGCCTCGTTTACCTTTCGAGCCTCGTTCAGGCTGTACTCCAGTTGAGCTCGGAGTTTCTGTTCCTCCTTGAGGGCTTGGTTCAGTCCATGAACCTGGTCGGCTAGCTGAGCGTTTGCTTCCACCAGGTCGACATCGGCTGTCCTTTGGTTAGGAAAGCCCATGTCTCGAGCGTTCGCGTCGATGAATCGACGTCCCGTTCTGACGAAGAGGAGTTCCATCTCCGACTCGAGTTCGTCGGTTCGTTGTGTTAGTCGGTCGATCTCGTTATCGGCCTTCTTCAACTCCACCGCATACCTATCGACTTCGTGTCGATAGACTTCGGCCTCTTCGTTGGCCTGGTTGAGTTGCTGGTGGAACGCTCCTGCTGCCTGTTCCGACTCGACCAGTGCGGTCTGGACATCGGCCAGGTCTTTTTGTGCTTCTTCGAGCGCTTTGTGCGCCTCGTCAAGCTCCTTTTTGATTTCGAAGACGGCTGCGGTTGAGCGTTCCAACATGCCAGTAAGTATGGCGATTTGGTCGTCTTCGTATCGACACGGTAAGTCAGCTCGCTTTAATATGGCGTTGAGCCGGTCGATTTCCCGTTGTTGGGTGGCGATGCCCTTGTTAGCATCGGCCATGTCTCGTTCCCATTTCCTCCGTTCGATCTTATGGGTGTCCTCCGAGTTTCGGAGGGATCCTTCTGCCGAGTCGACGATTTTGTCCGCCAAAACGATCTGTGTGATCAGTTTATGGCATCTCGCTCGGAGTAGGTCGAGATCGTTAATCTTCTCGGGCGGTGTTGCCGCGATCCACTTCTTGGCCGTGTATTCGAGTGCACTGGCCTGGTATCCGAGATTCTCCTTATCGGACTTGGGTGGTGTGGTGAAAAATCCATCCGCACTATTCGGTCTTGACGCGTTTGTTGCCTCAAAGACTTCGTTTGTCGGTGATGGAGTACTACCAAGTTCGCCGGTTCCGAACATTGGTGGTGACGATCTCAATGTCTGGTCGACAGGTCGACTTTGTGTCGCCTTAGTCGACTTCACCGTTTGTTGAGCTTCGGTTGCTCGAGTCGACTCGCTTCCAGTTGGCGAAGGTCGGCTCAACGGCGAAATTATCCGTTCGTTGGGTGCCGGCATGTTGGTCGGCGATCCGGCTGGGTGAGGGCCGCTTCGTGGCGGTACCTCGGAATCTGTCGTTCCTGCCGGTGATTTAGTCGACTGGACGGTCGCATCCGACTTTGTGTCGGCTGGTTGCCGTTCCAGGCTAGTCGGTTGCTTATTGCCGACTTCCTTTTCTCCGACCTCGGTGGTCGGCGTCTGTTGACCGACCTTCGAGACTGGCGAAATCCTTCCGACCTGTGTGGTCGGTCGGACGTTGCCGACTTCTGTTGTCGGTTTCTCCATTCCGTTCGAGGTCGGCTGTCCGGCCTCTTTCGTTAGTGGTAGGTCGACCTTCGGTTGGTCGACTTCCTTTGCTGAGGGCTGGCCGACCATTTGTTGGTCGGCTTCCTTAGTCGGTGATTGTGTACCGACTTCTTTGGTCGGAGATTTTCGCTCGACCTGTGTGGTCGGCGATTTCCGTCCGACTTGGTTAGTCGGTATGTCCGTGTTGGACGAGGTTGGCTTCGGCACTTCTTCCGTCCTGTTGGGTGATTGCCGTCCAAGCTCGGTGGCTTTTGTAGCCGTTACCGAGTCTGGAGCTCCGTGTGAGCTCGACTGTTGGTCGGCATGAGACAATGTGGTCTCTGCCTGCAGCTGTTCCACATCCCCCCCGGTCGGGTGGGACGGGGCTGCTACGTCAGCTGGGGCTTCCAGGAATGTTTTATCCCTGGCGTCCTCGAAACTATCATCCGAAGTTGGATTCGAGTCAGCGAGGAGAATCCGTTCGTTGCGTCTCTCCTTCGCTTCGGCCGACTTAGTCGAGTCGGTTGAGGACGGCTGACTTTTGTCCTGACCGGCGTACCGGAGTGAGTACTTTCCGGTCATGTTCGCACGCCGAGAATAGTCGGTGTTGAACTTTCTCGCGTATTCGTTTTCTCGAGGATTCGACATTGTTGTCGAATCAGGTCGGCTCTGGTGGAGCCTCAAAGGTTTTATTAGTTAAAGAAGAGAAAATCGAACAATCCTCTGTGTGAGGATGTTCGATGAAATCGGGAACGTCTTTTGGTTCAGGAACTTCCGAGGGTCAGGAACGTCCGGTGAGATGTTGTTGTTGTTGTTGTTGTGTCTGTTGGTGACTCAGTACACAGGGTTAATATGCAGTACTATGGTACGGTACAGTACGTTATAGTAGTACGGTGTAGTACGTCCTATACTACTGTGCTGACCAGTGTGACGTAACAGGTTAAGTGGTCTTGCACTTCTGCATACGTCACAGAATGCGAGCCGCGTGCAAAATTTACAAAAAACGATGAATCACGCCTATGTTAGGCTATGGGAACTTTCCCCTGCACTCTGATTGGCTGCCTCTTAAGTACTGATAAGCGGTCGTTATGACGTCACAAGGAAGTTCGAGAATTTTCGCGCTATTTCCCGCGAGAAAAACAAATTATTTTTGCTCGGCTAGAAAGTTTATCTAGTCGGATTTTTGAGTTTTTAACCGTTAGGAATTAGTTTTATTAATTAAGGAAATTTTCTGGTGGTCGAAACACCGTTAGAAATCAAAAACAAGAGAGTTTCCGACCTGTTGCCGGTTAGCCTTTGTCTAACTGTCTAGACAGGTTCGTTGACCTAGCAGGTCGGTTCTCGACCAAAAGCAAAATTCCGAGTCGGTTTCTCCGTCAGAAATTACTTTTTAACCGTTAAAAAGTTAAATTTTACGGATAGAATTCGTTTTCTACCGTTAGAAAGTGAAAAGCCGACCTAGTTGCGGCTAAGATCGACATAGAACCGTTACTTTACCGGTGTCGGTGTCGGTGTCGGTTCCGCTCGATTTCCTCCGTCCGAGGTCGGAAATCCGTCGTTTCCGAGTAAAAATCCGCCGTTAAAGTTGCGGGTCGGTGTTCAAACCGATGGTCCCCGTATTATTGGAGTAATCCGTTCGCGCTGCAGACTCTCGTTCGAGTCTGATCCGTCAGTTGGGAGAATTCCGTGCTGTTGGGAATGTGCTCTTCAATGTGGAAGAGACAGAGAAACTGTGCTCACCAGCTGGGTGAGAATCACTTCAGTGATCCTCGTTTTCCTCAGCTGTAAGACGATGCGATCAGTCCGATCGACAGTCAATGCAGAGATTGCTTCAGCAATCTGTCTGACAGTGACTGAAAAGGTTCCTCACGAGTTCTCCGTAATTGAAGCCTTCACCGTCTCCTCAAAGGTTCCGTAGGAAGGAAAACCAGAAAAGATGCTGCTACCATGTAACAGACAAGCACGAGGAGATCACGAGTGATGCTTTATTGTACAAATAAAGGGGGAACAATGCTGCGTAATAGCAGGAAAGCAAGAACAAATGGCTAAATCAACAAATGGCAATGGAACAAATGGCAAATAGCAGTGATGGCTAAATCTAGCAAGTGTGTGCTAAAGTCGGTTCTTGAGCGTCTTCAAGGCGTGTAAAGAAGCAACTGGCGGCAAGCACGTGCTGTGTGCCATCAGCTGTGTGATGATGCGCAGACTGGACTCTATCCAACGCGAGCGTATGAACGCTGAGTCATACTGCGAAAGAGGAACGAGAGAGCAAGTGTGGCTCAGTGTATGCGCTGCGTATATCCGCTTCAGCGGATGAGTGCAGTGCAGCAGCACACGTACGTACAGTGAGAGAGGTGGTAACGGCAAGCAATGGTGCAAGTACGTCCTGTGTGGACCGTACGCACCAGGCGCAGTCGTACGCCTCTGACAAATAATAATACAATATTAAGGACGCTCAATCAGAAGTAACATAACGCAATGCTCCACAGTGCGAAGAGTACAAGCTGTACAATCCACAAAGCAGGGAGGCTCAAATTCAACTTGATTTAGACGGAAGTGGCTACCTGGAACCGTTTCCGGTGTTATGCAAATTTTTCGGTAAGTCAAAAAAGACCTTAAAAAAATTTTGTTAAACCGTACCAAATAAATAACAAAAATACTTTTCATTTTTTTGTATAGTCGATGAACGAACAGAAACCCATGTTAATCACGACTCCATGGCCGAAACAGCCGTGGACGGGTATCAGTCTCCAGCATCGTATGTGCAGCATATACGATACAACGCATCTTGGTCCCAGCTGACCGCCCTCGTAAATTATTCTGCATCGTGTCGGCAGTACATCAAGTACACCTGCCTTAACGCTAAACTTTTGAGCAGTCCAGGTGTGTCACCGTTTTCTCTACTTTAATTCTTTAAAAAATTGTTATAAAGTTAAATGTTATTGGTATGTCCATTAAGTCGCTTACAGTTTTAACTGAACGGATAAAACTGACCGAGTTATTTCATACATTCATTTTGCTAGTAAACAAAAAGATTTATACTGCAACTTTGCATGATATGAGGTGCCCAATACGAATAAAGAAGTTCGGCAAAAACATTTGGCTGGAATTTGATAGTAAGTTCTTATTAATGCAACAGTGGGTCCGCCTTTCGGTTACTGGGTCAGCCGAACTAACCAGAAGATGATTAACTGGGGCGGTGCATCTCCTGGAACACCCATGTGTGCATGCGGCTTAACCGACAGCTGCTTCCAGCGTACAAGGTTTGTTCAAGTCAAACTTCTTGTTCTCATGTCGTAAAATGTTATGAATCTGATCTTTTATTCTGTTTAGAGGCTGTAACTGTGATACAGATGAAAATCCCCTACGAAACACTTGGCTGACCGACGAAGGCTGGTTGGCACACAAAGACCACCTTCCGGTACGTCAGCTGCTGTTTGGAGATACGGGAATAGCGGACGACCGAAAAGAATCAAGATATCAACTTGGTCCACTTATTTGCGAAGGGAATTGTAAGCTATCGAAAATACACGGTAGTTACCGCATTAAAAAATACTTAGTTCAAGTGTCTGCTTTTACAGCCATAATTGACAATGCCGTGACCTTTTGGCGGCAAGACGCCACGTTGGTTTTTCCGTATTTTGAATGGACAGAGGGTGACATATACTTCCATTTTCGAACAACTGTCGAATCGGGAGTATTTATCCACGCGCAGGGTTTGTCCGATGAAATCAAAGTGATTCTGATCGGTCCAACCGAAATCCAGTTCGAGTATACCGCCGGAAACGGGCCACGAAGTGTCAGTTTGCATGTGACACGCCCGTTGAACGACAACCAGTGGCATTCCGTGCTGGTGGAACGAAATCGTAAAGAGGCGCGCATTAGAGTTGATGGAGCACTGAGCGCCGATTTGGCGGTGACGGAAGCAGAATACCGAGAGATGCAACTGGGTTACGATTTAATGGTACAAATCTGATATGCACATCTTGGTTGTTGTACTGCTTACCGGTTAGCGGAGAATACTTCATGCATCGGCTAAAAACCATCGATAACAAATTATTAGCAGTATAAAAAAGTGTTGGCAAGATATTTATTTAGAAAGAAAAAAAGAAAAATGTATAGAAAAATTATAAAAAATCCCAATCAGTTTTTCGACAGAGTTATTACGAGAATGTGACGTTTATGCTAGATTGGAGCGGCGACAGATTTATCCGGTGGCTTCGTCGGATGCCTGCGTTCACTGTTCGTAAACGGACTCCAGTATAACCTGCGATTAATTGCTGAATTGGGAGCGTATGGGTTACTCCCCGGATGCGTTGGAAAATGTGATAAAAGTCCATGCATGAACAATGGAGTCTGCCAGGAACGATACGATTCGTATAAGTGCGACTGCCGGTTTACTGCTTTTCGCGGACCACTTTGTTCGGATGGTAATTCAGTCATATCATAATTCGTACAATTTGTTTTTCTTATTAAGAAACACCGGTATCTTTTTATGGTAAAATAAACCGGGCAAACCTTATATATGTTATTATTATTTACAGAAATCGGCGCTCATTTCCGCACAGAGGACCAAGTCGAATACCACTTTACAAATAACTCGATTTCCACTGTCGAAGAGCATATCCATGTCGGCTTCGTCACGACCGAGCCGCGGGGACTGCTGATGCAGATTGTTGGTGCACATAACGAGTACATCTCCGTGGAGATATCCAATGCCGGTACTATTCGGGTGGCCTTTGATCTGGGCTTCCAGCGCCAAGAGCTGTATGAGGAATCGCACTACTATCCTAATGGACAGTTTCACGACATCCATGTGTGGAGATCCAACGAAGGCCGAACGATTAATATACAGGTTGAATTCAACTGACCACCACGCCAAATTTCATACATTTAATTATTTTTATTAATATTTTTTTTGCACCGAGCGCGAAGCGCGAGGTGCTGCAATAAGTCTTCGGCAAGAGCATAAAATTTGTCTGACGCCACGAAGAGCGTACGTCACGCTTTTCCAATTCCACAACCCCAATACCATTTCCCAGTGGTATTGGCGCTCGCGCTCGTGCAATAATGTGGTTCGCAACCACCACTAGTTACATATGATTTTATTTTTCTTTTTTTTATGGTAAAGCGGTTTAATGGATGCATTGCAGGCGGATGGGTACTACATCGTGTCGCGGACATACCGGATCGGCAAGAAGCAAGACGCACAGTTGAACGATGTCCGGACAATATATCTCGGTCGTAACAGTGAGGAAACATCCTTCAGTGTTCTATTGCAACGTAAATCACGCGCAATTGCTTTCGATTAAAATTAGATTCGATGCGCGAGAGGGAAGGATTCCTGGGGTGCCTATCGCGCGTGTCCTTCGAAGATTTTTTCATTCTCAAACAGCTCTTCCAGCAAAACCCGCCAGCTAACGTGAGAGCGAACCGTCGTCTACGCGAAGACTGGTGCGATGTGCAGCCGGCGACACATCCACCCGAGCCGGTTCCGCTTCGACCCGAGCTATACTTCAGGTCGCCGGTTGGTCCGAACGCGGCACATCCAGTTGGTCTAGAGGTCGATCAGTCTGGTACTGCCCATGAAACTTTACTCGGAAGTAGGCAGAATCTCATCACGTTAATCCACGAATATGTACTGATTATACTTGACGTACACATACTTTCTTGTTTTCCAGTCATTCTCGCCACGGTAACCATCCTCCTTCTCATCTGCTTATTTTTGCTCGCTCGATGTATCGTCCGTAAAAGACAAGCTGCCAAGGTACGTGAACTCTTCGGTGTTCGCCTGATTTCCAGTATCGTAAACAAAAAGCCTGGACTTTAGGCTTCGTGTGCTGCGACGCGGAGGTTTGAAAGGACAGCTGTATCTGTAGAGGATGAAACCGTTGAAGACTTGACTAGTCCAGAATCGCCGGATGTACAGAACGAAGCGGCTGCCGCCGAAATTCTGCAGCAGGAAAATGGGCAGACAGAAATTCTTGCTGTACGCGAAACGTTGATGCCTATCAGTATTGCCGTCAACGCTGGTGGTGCGGCGAGAAAAAAGAAAAAAGTCCGCATTAAAGAATGCACCTTGTAAATATTCTTACAAATTTGGAGTTGTCTTTAACGCAAGAATTTACCGGAATTTGGCAAAAACTAAACCATACACTGTAAATGTTAACCAATAGCCAAATACTGTAAGTGGTGAAGCACATAAAGGTTGTGAACGGTTACGGCGGCGAATATACCAGTCTTTGAAATATTTATCCGTGAACCGTTGTGAAATTAGCTTTCCGATTGTAAAACATCCATCGGCGCGATGACCGCCTGGAACACAAGAACGTGCGCTTAAATTGGGGGTATAACGGATAATTACAGTATACTGCCGGTCAGCTAGAGTTTGCAGCTCCAGGTATTTGTTCGTACAGTGTTTGCTTGCTTAATTATTAAACAGCTTAGCGTCTAGAAGAATCACTTGTAAATTTGCTCGAGGTGTAAACCGTCACAAACCCGATGCCACCGACTTACAGTACAGCCGCTTACAAAAATTCTTCTAAGCTGTAAGTAACACAGTGAACATATGCGGCATACGAAATCATATTTTATACGCAGTCAGCCATTTATTTACACAAGCAGAACAAATACAAATACTACGAGTATTCATTAGTACACAGATGCTAAATAATTTCAATCAAGCAACGAACTGAATTCAAAAAACAACAATTCGAAAATAAACCTATTATAACCAGATCCAAACAAATGCTTTCTTAAAAAGGGACTTTTCAGCGACGTTCTGGAATTCTCGCTGTCACTTTCTGGATAAACTGGAGGTTGGGAAAATGCAGAAAGTTGTGACTTGTGCGAAATATTCGCAAAGATCAAGGGCTTGGAGTGCGGCTGTATGAACCACATGATTCAGCATTTGCAATGGACGTAACAGAAGTATCCCTAAACCAGTGAAGCAAAATGAGCGTGTCTATTGCATGTACTTTTTACATCAAAATTCTGCAACAGGCAAAATCTAAGATGGTTTAGTTATGATTATTATTACCTATTATTATCCAATTACAGTAGCCAACTCTTTCAAATAGATATATGTTACTATCCTAGGCTAATGGAAAATTCGTTCTATAAAATAATTGAAAATTTATGCTTTGTAAACTTATACTTGAAAATTTTACGTTTTTTTTTGATTTTATAAAACAAAACTTAGCCAACCTAGAGTAGTTAGTTATTAACTATTCATGGAGAATATATTGATATTGGAGGCAGTATATATACCGGTATCAGATTTGTTCTCCCAAAATTTATTTCATTTCAAAATAAACAAGAGGCATGTGATATACTGCGGGGTATCCAAGCCAGTCATACTTTTCTGGATTTTCGTCTGCCAACTCGATCAGAACACGGATCGTTATTCTGGAAAGGCTGTGTGTATCCAGATGGCGCACATCATCCAGGCACCATTTACTGTTTCGCTGATGAGCAGGGCTTCTGGGATCACTCGACTGAATTTCACGAAGTATCTAGAGAAACACAAAAGGGGAAAATTATTTCACCTTTTCTCGAAAAAGAACTGGCAACGTCATTACAAACCCGATCAGTTAAAGTTAATACACATCAACTGTAACACCTATACGCATAACACATTGTACTGCTTTAAAAATCGCCGTAGACATTTATGAAGATAATCGCGCATCCAGTGTGCAAAAAACTCATACAAATTTTAGAAGCCTTATACCGTATACGTATAAACCATGCTAATCATGGTACACTCACCTTCTGGACAATACGAAACAAGCGCCGAGGACGGTTGTCGCTCAGTCGAGACCAGGGCGGTGGGCTGTGGTCGTTCTCCATGTCCTGATGCGCGACAACCCATCTCAGCCAGTCTTTAAGCATTTGGACTTTCCCGATATCCGGAGCGCAAACACTGGATTCCAGTACATTCCAAAAGGCAGACCCGAATTCCCCAATAGACAGATCAATTTTTGCATCAAATATATTGGCGATTAACTGGATTCGTTCATAATTATCATCGGGGAAAACGAAACACAGAGAAACGATACACCGAAAAAATTTCAACGCTTTACATGGCAAGGTCTGGAGAATCTTACACCGTTGGATGAAAGCACCAAGAAGTAAGGAATTGGAGCAACTGCCGTATTCCGTATCTTTTTTGCCTAGGGAGAAATGCCACTAAATTATAGGGCAAACCATACTGCACGCGCAAATAAGGCGAAATACAGTCTTAACCATCAACCGGCATAACCTGTCTGGTGATACTCTTACCGAACAGCATAGCCCATTCCATGCCAACCATCGTGAGGGATTTCAGATTAACGGCTGTACCGGACAACGAAACATGCTGAATCATAGCCAAAGCTGTAAAGAACTCTCCCTCGTGCCATTCGTCATGCGCAAGATCTCTAATAATATAGGGCGCTCCATACGCCATAACTATTCTTTCTGTAGTACTGGACAGGTGGTTAAATATCGGAGCCACGACGACATATCCGCTATCGTCAAAGTCATCTTCCGGGAATGTGAATGGATTTTCAGAGATTCGAATGATGCGGCTGATTTGCAAATCCAGAACCGAAGTCCAATACCCACAAATTTTACGTAGTTGTGCTTGCACAGTCGTATCCAGACAAGAAAAGATTTCAGCCAACAATACAGCAGGAAAACTGGAAATGCCACAGATTTCAGCAGCGAGTGATTCGGTCGGGTCCGTCTGCACAGGATTCTGCTGGACATTGAGCTTTTCCGTTTCGTTTTCGATATAATAATCAATCCTGCGCTCAAGAACTTCCTACAATACGTAATCCAAATGGCATTTCAAGCTGACATGTGCCAGTAATAACAAGTGACTTCTAGAATACTCGCACGGTATTTATGATGATTTATCATCATTAACTTTCAAACAACAAGTTACAAGTCGCAAGTCCAGCCTATGCTACTCGTGCAGAACGAAGGAAACTTACACGGGTTAGGAGATTAACCCATTGATGAGCTTGCTTCTGGTGCTCCGCATAAATCAAGCAATTTCCGATCACGTCACCTGGAGCCGCACACCACGAGAAATCATTATTAAAGTGGTAATTCTGGGAGCGAATACATTCAGCAATCACATTTAGTAATTTAGACTTAGGTATCGCAGAGTACCGATCGGGCAGTGGCATACGTCGCCGTTCAAACATTCCCTCCGGAATACAACTGAGCAAAGTCGCTACTGTAACAGGCTCGTCATCACTACAACATCGAAGCCTTAAAGGTTTGCCGCGACGCTGCAGCCTGACTAGGCGATGCCGCCACTCGGCATACGCCTCTCGGATGTTTCGACATGGAAAAATGCCTGTTTGCTTTACACCGTCCGCCGTGCACCATTCCAGCCATCGGTAGTTATTGAGCTCATCACGCAAGCTGCCAGTCCAGTGGAGCATAGAAGCGGGCCACCAAATCCACGGGCCCGATTTGTGCTCACGGAGCAGCACTTCGACGGGGTGCCTATCAGGTTTCTGGCGGGATCGATCACGGTAAATATTCAACCTGTCACCCACTTTCCGGCACTCATATGTAGCAAAAACGCTGCTGTAAGGGAATAGTTCCCGTCTCCTGTCAACACAACCCAAATCCACAATCCAACCTTGTCCTTGTTCCGCGACGTCTACAACTCGTCCATAGCGAAATAGTCCATCATTCTCCCACACATCCACACTATTCCATCCGTAAGGGTCCTTCAAAAACGCCATGATAATCGGTCATGACCGAATAACAATCGAACGAACTTAACGTCAACCAATTATTAACCATGCAACCAATTTAGCAAAATTTAAATTATTTTTTTGCTGACATTTTGCTGCAAAATACCAGCGACTGTCTATTATGTCTGTGGCCCTGAAAATTCAAAATACTAAAGTTTTTGTCTGTACGGTGTACTGTGTAGTTACCTTCCGCTATTATTCCATAGCAGCCTCCTGTGAGGGGTGTCATGGTATCGTGTTGCTCAGTTTGGCTACGCCAGCCACCATTGGCAAGCGATCTAAATACGAAATTCGAAATTCCCAACCGACCGGAAGAAAACGCGGCCAATAAAGAGCCGAGCTTGCAAACTTAGGAAAAATGGAAACTCTTACAGTGAGTCTTACTCAACAAAACACTCAAACTGGTGCAAAGTCAAACGGCTAGCTGCATAAAATGGTAAATCTTCAGCAGTGCTTTAAGACTATCGGAGATTTGTTAACTTTTGTTTTTTGGTAAACGGAGTATAGAATGTTCGAGAAAAACGTTTGGCGGTACGGCGCCGTGGATGTGCAGTATGACAACGGGTTGATGCTGCATGGTCTAATCAGCGATGTAGACAAGGTCCGCGGTTTTATCGTTAACTTCGGATGCCCCAGTCAGAATGCGGATTTCATTCCTCGCGCCAAGTGCTCGGATCAGGTTAAGAAAACTGAATTCACTATTGCGGATCGAGTGGAAACCCTATGCCAGCCCGCAGCAGACCAGCCCTGGCGCTGGTACCCCTCCAAGCTCCTCAACGACCCACAGCAAGGATACGCTTTTGTTGACATCGAGATGGGTGGCATTGTTGTTCGCAAAGTGGTGCCAGTGGAGAGGGTACGGAAAATTTGTTCTACGACACCACTGAAAGTGGTACGGAAATATCACAAGCATGCGGTGCGATTGTCAGAAAAACAACGGGAGATGCTTTCAGCACGTCCGAAGGAGTTCTTCGAGAAGTGGAATAAATGCACGAAGACGTTCGGGCTGCGTGCAGAAGAAGGGATGTTGGTGTACATTTCTACAAAAACAACGCCAGTGGCAGATAAGGATTCCGTAAGTGGGCACAGCACTGTCGGTTGTGTTAATTTTTATTTAAGTATTAATAATAACGGTTTCATTAATTTAACCGCGATGTAGTGTGCTTGCGCTTGCACTTGTTACTTTGACGGCTATTGCTTACAGTATTAAAAGTTCCAAGTACTAATAACTACTTATTTTTATTTTACCATGTGGATATGGTGATTAGAGTAAGACGTTTTATTATGGCTGGTTTCAGGTTCTTTAGTGTATTTTTTCCGTGTTACTGTTTTGTTAGATTGGTATTGTTGGTATTAGATTAAGAATAAGAGGTAAATAGTTATAAATTATGATAACAAACTATTTGTAAATTTTTAATTCACAATTTACCAACTTATCCTCTCCAAAACGAAATTGTAGTACAGAGCGCAATATTATCCCCGTTGCGCACATTTTGGTTATGTCATGGCTTATGATCCGCTTATCAGCATGTCTTCTGACTCTGTTTTATAAATTAAATGGCGGTCTCTTACTGTGTGATATTCACCTTTTTTTGCAGAAAAGACATCTGTTCTACATCGACAGTGAGTTGCGGAATTCGGTTTCGCGAGGGGTTAAACGGAATAATGTCGGCGAAATAGTTACTGCATCGGTAATTGCATAATTTTCATGTTTAGTGCATACTCGCAGCATTGCAATCATCTCTTTATGGTGCTGTCCGCTCGGTATTAAAATTTAACCGGAATGCGTTAGTTTGCTAACTTTACCGGAATTTTAGGACGAATCAACCGTGGCACCTGGAAAATCACAGCTTTCCATCAACACTTGCTTGGCGGCGGAATTATTATGCGAAATCTTCTCCTACGTCGACGTGTTTCAGCACGCGAAAGTACGTCGAGTGTGCCGCGTATGGGAAGCAGCGCTACAATTATCTCCACCCGTTCCCTCGGTGGTAATTCCTGGATCGCACTACGACGGGCATAGGCTGGCCTCGGTGCTCAGTGAAACAGTCACACGTTCCACTAAACTCTTAGCCCTAACGAATAAACATCGACTGGCTCCACGCTACGATGATTCCATAGGACGGTTACGGACCGTTATCGCTATGCTCAAGGCGATGAAGATCAGAATCCCCGTGATTGTTGTATCGGACAGTATTGTGTGGGGCAATCTTCTGCTGGATTATTCTGATCCGAAGCGATTGGCATTTTATCCCCAATGGCGGGATGTCTGTGAGAAGTTGGTGCTGAAGGAGGTGGCAGTGCGGGGGCTGATGGAAGCCCAGTATCCGGAAGACGCGAATGGTGCCGCTAGGCGAAAGGGCATTGTCAACCGGTTTGTAGACAGAGGCTGGGGCGTCACCGTTACGGTGACAGCAGGGTCCATCAGCATGAAAGGCAGCGCCCAGCTGAAGACGTTGCTGGATTTACTGGAGAAGACTTGCCCGGAAATGACGATCCAGCGTCTTCGTATGTTGAGACCGGTCGTAGGCATGGGATTCGCCGGGGATGGAATTTTGACGGTACGTCTGATCCGCTGTTATTTATTTTTCATGGTACAAGATAACGACTAGGGAACTGATAGACAGAACACTAAAAAAACTGGCTCTTTTTGGTTTTGTATCGGTCTTTTTACGGTGCAGTTGCAATTTTTAATTTCATACGACATTATGTATCATTTAATTGTTTGGAAAATAAATGATTGCAGATTTTAACGTGATTTTGTATGTTTGCGACTAGCAGGTGTTGCGGAAGTGGCAGCTTGGCGATAAACGATTCACTCACGACTTTCCAAAAGGGCAGAGCCCCCTGACCGGAACGAGTGCAGAAGGATTGCGGTCGTTGAAGAAATTAACGCTGTGGGCATTGTGGTATCACATGAAAGAGAACGATCTGGACATGTGAAGGACTCAAAAATCAGGAAAGGAAAAATCGTATGAAGCAGCTTTTAAGGTATTGTTGTTATCGTACGTATTGTTGGATTGTGCTAAAGGAAATTGTTGAATGCACTTTCCGTTGTAATGGGACTTTCGGTCGCTGTGTTAAATATTTTTGTATTGAAACACCTTTGGTTGTATGTTTTTTTTAAAACGGTGTTTTGAACTTTAAACTTCTGACGAAACAGTTTGCTGAATCATTCTGGAGGTGATTTTAATAATTTGTTGTTGATATTGATTTTGTGGTTATGTATTGTTAGACCGGTTCATGGGATTGTGTTGGTGTTGAGTATTGAATTGCTCAGTAAAAATGTTTGTCTAAGCATTTTGTGGAAAAATCCATAATTCAGACTGCAGACAATTACCTACTAGTGGGTCGCACCGTCTGTGAACCATTCGGCTACCTGCACAGATAGTGCTTGACATTTGAAACTGAAGCAGCACAATGCAGATCAGAAAAGTGCGTTGAAATTAAGTTTAGTCAGCACAATTGGGAATAACAACAAGTAAATTCCACGGCGATTTTATGCAAGGCAGTGGTGGTGACATTTTGTATTCTTCCAGAAGGCATAATGCGATCTGAAGCGGCACATTTCTCGGCATCCGAATGATCGCAAATTAAAAGCTTCTTGCCTAAGCGATTGCAATACAGACTGCATATAGTATAGTGATGCAAAGTTCGACGGTGCGTTAATGAAGTGTGCAAATCATGGGTCGCGGGAGCGCAAACGCATCATCCACATTTCCGGGGCGCTCTCGTAAAAACAGCTATTACTTAAGGGAGACTTCAGAAAAGGAAATTTTGCCACCGTACTTTTGGAGATTCGTCCAAGGGTTTGGTGTACTACCCGCAAATTACATTAAAAATACCGACAATTTATTGCGTCCAAGAACACTCAACCGTTGTTTATTGGCTTGGTCGATCGTATTGGTCTGCTTGATTGCTGTTTATATGGTTATCCGTGTTGGAAATTATGCGGACTTTTACAGAAAAGAGCTGAAAGAGTTGGAATTTTTCACGCTGATCCATTTTATGTGTTTCGTGTCAGCACAGTTGCAGGTAAACGAAATTCTTGCAGACATGATTATGTTAAATATCGTACTATTTATTTTACATAGTTACTATTACGTATGCTAACAGTACAAATAAAACTACTATTACGTATGCTAACAGTATAATAAAGTTTATACTGCATAATAATTATACGGCATGCGGTATCCATAAAGTATCCATAAATAGAAGTGCAGGTAAATATATACTTCTCTATGTGATTCTACCTACATGGTCATAATACCGTACGGCTTACTTGCACAAGTACAATTAGATTTAATACAGATTGATTTCGATCAGTTTTTGATAGGTTATTTTGATTTTGGTCATCATATGCTTCAAAGCCAAACACATTCCTGGATTATTGTATAAACTGCAGCAACCCTTGCTCTGGTACAATGAAGACAACGAAATCAGAAATTCCCGATGGCCGAAAGTGGTGTCGACTACCGCCATGTTATGGATTCTAATCAGCGTTGCTCTGCCCTTTGCTTCTATACGTTTCGCATTAGAACTGTGGAATATGTTTGATGAGGCATTCGAGTATTCCCGAGACGACCCGGATAATCCTTCGCAAATGAATTTTTTCGGTTTACTGAAAGCGCCTGAATTAGTGTGGGTTGTTTTGGATGCGGTGCAAACAGCACTCATTTTGTCGATTACGAATGCCAGCCAGATGTTGACCTTTGTCATTGTCCTCGCTATCGGACGAGGTTTTGCACATCAAGCGCGCCAAATATGTGACAAAACGGAAGTTTTCAACTCCGCACCGGAGTCGTGGAAGTTGTGCCGCAATAACGTCGGGAAACTGCTGGAGTGTGTGGCAGCGTGCAACGATATTTTTGGCTGGATTAACCTGATTGTTTGTGTACAAGACTTACTGAACCTGATCAATTATATGGATTTATCTCTGCAGCAGACCGTTAAAGAAGCGGAAGATAATGAAGAAGAGGTGTATGTGAAGTTCTATGACCGACAAATTCTCCGCGTACAAAACGCCGTTCCGTTTGGCATTTCCGTAATTAATCTGGGTCTCCGCTTTGCGGTTTGCAGTTATTGTCAGGAACAGGTCTGTGAAAATTAGTTTTAGCAGAGTTATAAGCCTGGTTAATAAACGTAAAAGTACAACTAATAATCATGTTTTAGACAATGTTTCTTCGCTAGGGGCAAAATGTAGGTGTCCTTGCCGAAAGGTGTTCCTTGGAATCCAGCGACGATAGCATTCGCAACGAATGTCGTTTAATCCAGCTGGCCACATTACGCGTTAATGGAAGCACTGTTATCACTGCTGCCGGCTTTGCCTCCTTGACCAAAGAATATTTTGCAGCTGTACGAATTACGAGTGTTATACCACTGCGTCAGCGCGTGATATCAAGAAATTTACTGTAATTCTGAGAACTACAGAGCACCTTTGCTTTTTCTAGTTGTTCGGACTAGCCTTAACTTATTTCATTCTCATCTACCAAGCCCGGGACATCAAACAGGACATGCTTCATTCACGGAATCGTATCGTAGAGGATTTGAAGCACGACATTCGTCGTCTGATCAACGGCTCAAGATCATCGAAATCCGGTAATTAACCGGAAAGGTGATATGCAGTTTTCGGAAGAAGGATAATTAGGTGTGCACCCTGGATGCCGTCGAATTACTGCAAAATTGGCTATGTTCATCAGTCTACCTTTCCAGATCTTCGTAATCTGCCAGCCTACTTTGTCGACAGTTTTGGGACACGTCATTGATAAAGTTTATTAACTTGTACACAACTCCAGCTGAAAAGTGCAGCTCAGATTAATCTACCAAAACATATACTGATTATCTGAATACGGCATTACACCGTCACAAAAATCAGATCCGTACGTACTACGTACTGTATCATCTTTCCAGTTTTTCTGGAGAGTGCTCAACAAAAACAAAGTGCCACTCACAACAGCTGAGACGTGCAAATTGTTTGTGAATTATTACATACAGAAGTATAGAAACGCCGGTGAAATAGTTCAGTCAGAAAACGAACGTAGTATATAGTTGTTATATGAATACTGATTATCTGTGGCAGGACTTCGGCCCTGTCCTTTGAGGCAAAGGATCTCGGCTTCTACTTCACCAATTTTGTTGCTTTAAAGTACATCAAAACTCTCTAGGTGTAGCGGTGGATCCAAGATTGTTGACGTTTTGCCCAAATCATTTGTCTAGGTCCAGTGGTCAATCATAAGCTTGTTACCATGGACGCGATAAGAAATGCACACTGTTCTAACACAACTTGACCCAGAACAGTAGCAATATCTGAGCTGCTACTTAACAATAAGTACGAGTACAATACAAAGTAAAAAATTTATGTAAGTAACTTAACACGTCAGTCATCACTGCGTTAGTCATCATTGGAAGTTATGTACTGTATGTACAAGAAGGCAGTCCGTGTTTCGATTAACTTATGTAAAGTGTATCATAATATTACTAAACATACGTACGGGTTCATTAATATTATGACAGTCTGTAAGCGACCGCAAAGCAACACATCCTTAGAATTACTTATTAATTTTTTAATAGTCATCGGCCAATATTCATCCGTGCTGGGCTTGTACAGATATACGTATGTAGGAAACGGTTGCCCGGTATTTGCACATGCTGCAGTATAATTCCGGCCCGGCCCTCCACAACTACCCTTCAAATCCACGGAACGAGTTCGTAAGGTTGTTCTTTGATTAGTTAACTGGCCATTGTTGTGGTAATCCATGGTACTACTCCGATGACCTTTCCGTAAACACCTGGATAATTTGGCCGAGCGCATCCACTACAATCAACAGAAGTTCAGACGTTAAACTGTAAGCAGCTAGAACTGCACACGAATTTCGATTTAACTGATTCACCAATAATACTGTAAATATTGTGGCGGTCAACGTAATTGTATACGTTTAATTACTGCATAATCATACAAACGGGCACTCGTAAAGTGACCGGAATTACGACGCCGGTACAAAAATCCTACTGTAATAAGTACATAAACAAACATACATTCCCCAGGATGTCACACCAGCCAGGACAAATCCCGGTTTTCCATCAGCCCGTGGACACACGAGGGGACCGCCACTATCTCCCTGGCATCTAAATGATCCAATGATCGACAAATTATTTTTGTAAATTTTATGTAGCTGCATGTCTCAAGGCTTTTGATTTATAGTGCTACGGCATTCTCAATAAATTCATTTGAATTGACGGAGGTTATCAACTTACGAATCTTTTCCCGGGGCTGTCGCACACAACATGCTGTCATCAATCAGGCTTATGGGACTATACTTCGCTGCACAGGCATTCGCCTCCATTACCGCAACATCCACTTGCTGCAGAACCGTTGCAGTACTACGCGCCAGTTTTTTGACAATTCTTGGTGGAATTTTTCCAATCGCTGCTTGCTGTTGCAGCTGAAGGAGTGCTTTGATATTAGGTACCGCCGCAATTCGGGAAGCCTGTGTGACGCCCCAACCGGTGGTGAAACATCGAGTGCCGGGTGAGGCATCTAAGGCGGTGGGCAAACACACCGGAAGAACATCCCGGCTTATGCTGATTGCCTAGAAATGAAGGTTTAGTGATAGTAAAATTTTTATAAGACTGTTAACATCAGTAAAAACTATTAACTCATTGTGAACATTAATGGTAAATATAAAATTATAAATGACCGAACGTATACAAAATATATGGCGAATAACTCTACAGTGGGAAAACAGTTTGCAATAAGACAGAACATGCGAGTGTATGTAATAATACCTCGCGTAATTGCAACATGCAGAAATCGTGCGTCTGCGTGGTGTCGCCGTAACTCGGGTGCATGACAATTCGGGACACTGGAATAATTTGAGTGCTTGCATCTGGACGTGACAAGTTATGCGCTCCTACGCGAACTCGTAGATCGTTGGCAGTTTGATGTATACAGCAATGAGCAGCTGTTAGAATCCACTTTGTATCCAACTACCATAGTTTAAAAAATTTGTTTTCCCGCTAAAATTTTCAGTTATTTATTAAAAAAGGATGGTAATAATTAGGTGCTTACCACAGAACCGCCACAAAACTGGAAATTGTTGCCGGCTGCCGTCAGGATACCCACTTGCCAGGGCCAGCTGTGGGCAACCGCAGTAACGCCCCCAACAATCCGACCGGCACTGGAGGAAGGTGTTAAGTTGGGTGCTGTTTGTGGAATACCGCATTTGAAAGGACAATTTGAGCTGTCTGTGCACGTTGGCGGCACTAAAAAAAAACCCGTTTTAAATAGTTTACATGTTAAACATATAAGACGTTCTTGTTTACTAGAAAAATCTAAAAAACTTGGCAAATCGAACGGCCTTTTTGCTGTTTATATAAGTATTTCAATCGATATTATGAAATCTGCATTTTCCTATTTATTGCCTTGCCCATCCGGGCCATAAAAAGAATTGTCATGTATAAAACTGTAACAGCAATAGTAATAATTACCCACCGGTTGCTGGCACCTTTATGGTGATGTCGAATCCTAAATCTGTTATCGTGCTATCCGTGATAAACCAAATTTCCTGCAAAAGCCACTACGGTTCACAAAGTCACAGATCTTGTGCTGATGAAGTTGTTTTATTTGCGCGGGTGCAGGCGACAAAAGTAGTAGATATTTACAGTAATTGTGGTGTACCTTTTGCCCGGAAAAAGTCACTCCTTGAGGACCAACAGTTCCACAGTATTTTATGCCGTTAATCATCCAATAGTCCCATTGACATATCGAACTGTATTCCAGGTGAAAGGAATTTGACGAAACCTGTTACAGTACGAGTTATCATACGTGTAAATTTTGTAATGGATGAAGTGCTTACAATGCCTAATTATGTAGAAACGGGTGCACAGCGTACTCTTTAGTCAACTACGTCGCACAAAAATAAAACTACTTTTCTTTCATGTTGATTTTGCCAACACTTTCTCAAGGCATTGGCAAAATTAGTGCAGATTAATTGCTGCATGGTGACTTACGGTCATACTCTTTCCAGTAGCTGAAGAAATGATCCACTTGCAAACTAAATTATTGCCGTATTTATTTGGGTAATTTGGCGATCGAATTGTTATACTTTCTCCATCGTTAATAGAAATACTCCCACCACAGCTACCTCGGTGAGCCCGACTTGTTGCTACAAAGGCGGCAGCGTCTATCTTGTGGAGAAAATTTGCAACACCGATGTCCGCCATCGCAGCACCGACATGATAGATATTTGCTAAACTGAAGCTGACAATCATAAAGGTCACGAAAAGCTGCATATTTTCTCAAATGGTTTGATAGCTCTTCACGGTCTGTACAGTATTAGCACGTTAGTAAAACGTTACTGAATTTTAAACAGATTCATAGCAACATCAGAACTGTTGCAAGCCGGTTAGCTCTTGTTGTGAGAGATCAGCATAACAGAATTTTCGTGCATAATAACAGCCATGTTCATCATGACACTTTATTTATGTAGATCTCGCGACAGACGGCAGCGCCATCCGGGATACCAGCTACCACATTAATGCTTGGGAATATATTTCTAATCTGACAGTAACCCATTGGTTATGTGCATTTAGTGCTTTATGTTTCTTTGTCGGACGGAAAAAGTAAGAAGATTACCAAAAGTTTGATTAAAAATTGCATAAGCGCCTTTGCGCATCCTTTGAACGCTCAGGGCTATAATGTCGGCGGCTGCTTCTTTGATCACGAGAAAATCTGATGCTGCATGTGCACAGTGCACTGCAGCATTTTACGCAATCCGGGCAGATAACACGAAAAGATGCCGGTTTTCGCTATGTGTTAATGGCTAGCGTGGTCTTTTTATTAGGAGCGCCATTGCGATAACGACGACGTTTACCTTTTGCTGCTACCAAAAATACATGGTGAGAAGAATCTGTTACTGCAAACTGCAAGGTAGTTATTTGTACCTGTCGACTCAATCGTCCCTTCCATCATGGAAAGGGATAATGGATCGTACTAACAAAACACTGGATAACTTCGGTACGGTATGAGCCCTTTAAGTAAACTGTGTTATTTTCCTGTTTCCTACAAATTAAGGTAAGGGTAAATTTGATTACTGTTTTGATAAGCTACTCAAGTTTCTAAACAGTTTGCAGGAGGTTATATATGCTATCAGAACTGTGTCCGACTGAACGGTGAACCGACATCATTAATTTTTTAATTAGGGGTAAATACAAGGTGCATACTGATACTGCGCTACTAGGTAATACTGCAGTGCATGTGTTCCATTTGCTTCACAATTAATTGCAGAACATGATTGACCATTACATCAAATACATATTTAGACAAAACCAAGAAAATACACATAGCACTTGGCGTACATATATCTAAATACGTTATTTATATAATGTGAGTGCTGTTTAAGCATTGCAAGCCGATTTCTTTTGACAGTGTCCCTAAAAAATAAAGAAGTATTTTGAAAGCAGTCAGCTGAGATTGCAAAATGTGCACACTTTGTTTTCTGTACAAAAACATTAACTTACGTCACAACATCCTATTTTTGCTCTGAATTCTTCCGGCATGCGGCATTTGCCATCAGCTCCATCGCAGTTGTGGCAGTCTTTGTCCATGGTGCATTCTAGCAGAAAACAGAAACATTAATTTTTAGATACAGTATGCTGCTTGCATGACTGACGCATGACTGACGGTGACTGACGGCAGAAAAATACTTTATACCTCGTACAACCTAAAATTAGTTCATGTTGGAAATCCAATACTGTGATTTACAGATATTGTAGAAATGTGCATACAGATAATTTTATATTTTTTAATTGAAAGTACTGTAATGCGACATCAACAACCGCCACTAAGCCACTTACTGGCCCAGCATCGTTTTCCGGGCATGGATTTCGGCATCTCCATGCAGTCCATCATCATTCCGTCCACTCCCTGCATGCAGTCGGCATTCGAGTCGCATCCTTTGGGCCCGGTGAAGTGGCACATTCCATTGTGGCATCGGTGAGCCGCTTTGCAGTCCGCGTTGCTGCTGCAGCTTTGCTCTAAAGCATAAAAAAATAAAGTGCAGTTCAAGTTTTTTGTAGTCCAGTCAATTTCGCATCGTGCGTACAATGTCACGCTATAAATATTTTAAAACTAACTGAATTAAGTGAAACTAATGTGAGCAAACGTACTTTGCATTTTGTCCGCACTGGGCATGTCAGCTGGTCCGCACAGGCGCATATGTGTGCAGCACTTCGGGCGGGCTGCGTCCGTGCATTCGGCGTCCGTCATGCAGTGCTTCATGTCCTTGGCGTCCATCATCAGCTGGTTAAAATAAGAGCAGGTGTAAAGAGATGCCTTCAGATTTACTTAATAATTTTATTTCTAAGCATATGAAAGCCGGCTGACATGCACGGCATGACTTAAAGGTCAACTCTATCATTGTTTATAATACGCAACTGCATGTGCAGAGGATATGCAATTAAATTACTGGACCTACCATGTTCATCGCTATCTCTTTCTTCTTCTGGTCCATCTTCTGCCCCTCTTCGGCGGCAACAACGGCGACAATTACAGCAAGTACGAACAGTTTCATTGTGGCAGCGTTGCGAAATAACGTTGGGAGTTATGAAAATACTTCAAATGACAGTTATAAAGTCTAAATCAAAGAAAAGTTCAAGAATTTGTTGAGAAAACGAAGATTTTTATGGCTTTATATACAGATTTCAAAATTGTCAAGTAACTTATCTTCTTTAGTTTAGGTTCCATTTTTCCCCAAATCGGTAAATATGTTTATGTGATTGCGCGTTCGATTAATGCCTGGCATGCTTTATGTAATGCGCTGATTGGCTGGATATATGGGAGTGTGGGCTGTGTGGCCGCAATATCGTTCCATATCAGCCGGTCGCATCATAAAAATAGTATCACGTAATTTGGCAAAATTTACAGTAAATTGTTAAATTTTCCGAATGTATCGCTTGTTAGCAAATCCAGAAGGATGGGAAATAGGCTGCACAGAAGCGTTGTAGTAGCGTGTATGATATCATTCCGGTTAGTGAATGGAAACGAAATCTCCTTGTCGCTGGATCTGTGTGGTCATTTCCGGTTGGATACGATGGTCAGCGCACGACCCCGTTTTCATAGTGAACAGGCCAACACTTCTGCGAACTGATAAGAACTATTGTATTGCTGATCATTACGGAAAGCACCGCAATTTGTTCAGCAGGAAATGCCCAACACAATTTGAGTAAAATGTTGAGTTTTATTTAAAACTCTTCTATTTTTATTAACAGGTGTAGGTGAATTATACAATAATTTATTTTTAAGCCATGTGTAATTTAAGTTAAAAGTGTATTGTTTCATTTAAGACTGCCATTGCCACAAAATTTCTTTTTGTTGCACTGTTTAATGTTACAGAATGTTCGTGGTTATTTTTATGTACCATATATAAATACAGTAGCGCTGAATTACTCGTAATATTGGCAATTGTGGACTATACAAGTGCTCTACTTTTGTCAAATTCAATTAACTGAAATTTCTATGTGGATTATCTTTTGCACCGGCCACCAATTTTCGAAAATTTTGTTGTTTTTTCAATACATTTCAACCATATTTTGCATTTGTTGTTTTGCAGCTGGAACGTTCCATAGGAAAAATGCAAGTTCAGTAGAACAGTTAAAACAATCAAGTCATTTCTAACACTACAGATACACAATTCCACTACAGGCCATCACCGTCAAAAGCATTTAGTACTAAATTTACGAAGTCGAAGACAGACTGTAATTATTAAGAAATAATTTAACAGGCCGCTTTCTTTTGACAGTGTCCCTGCAAAGAAACATGACAATGATACAACTTTTATTTTCAATACTTTATGGCATGGTAATCTCCGATTTCATAATAGGATGGAGAATGAATGTAACTGGCTATATGAGATTGGGTATTATAAACTCGACAAAATATTTAATATGCTCCATGGTATCATACTCTTATCTTGTATTTAAGTGTTCCTTAATTAGTTCGCCTAAATAAAGTGTTACGCTAGCCTTATTAGTGCGACATCCTTTCAGTAAATGTTGCTCACCTGACAACAGCCGATTTTGCTTTTGGCTTCCTCTGGCATACGGTCGTGACACTCCGCATCGTTTGAGCATTCTGTAAAAGCGCATAGTGAATACAAAAGAAGTCTACTAGTAAGTAATATTTTGATTTTCGTAAGTAGGAGTACCGTGATGTTTATTTTATCCAAGTATAGAATAAACGCAACAACGTTTATTGAAGTTTTTATGTTATAAAATCTTTCATGTTTTCCATATTTGTGCAATACACTCTAGTATTGCTGCAGTCTTGCTTGTTCCAGAAAAACAAATTCTCACTTCCTATATACTTATTAAAAAAAATTATACAATGGACTTTACGGTTACTGATTTTAAAATGCATAACTTTGAAATAGTACTAATGTAACTGCATATACATATTAGCAGTGTTACGAAAAATTAATTACGAGAGCAGCAAAATGCAAGATTATCTTACTTCGCCAGCAGCGTTTGCCGGGGGCAGACTTGGCGGATTCCAGGCATTCATAGGAGTGTCCTTCTACTCCCTGCAGACAATCGGAGTCCTGTTCGCAGGCCTTGGGTCCGGCGAAGTGGCATTTGTTGGATTTGCATCGATAGATGGGGGGACATCCGGCGTGGTCCTGACAGTCTCCGGCTACAGTGCAAACATTTTTAGCATAACTAAGAACGTGCACGTTATGACGTGCAAACGAAAAACAAATTACAAATACTTATTCTATCAGTGTTTTCGATGAATAACAATTAATGTGGGTGTACGTACTGACGAGCTCGAAAGACGGGGCATGGGGTGGTTTGCAGAGGTGCAGCTTCTCACAGCACTTGGTCTTTTCGCCCTTTCCGGTGCAGTCGGCATCCGTGGTGCATTTGGTCATCTCGCTGGCATCCATGGTCATCAGCTTGAGAGCGGCAGCCTTGCGCTTCTCTTTGTCGGAATCATCAGCAGCCACAACAGCCGCCAGGACGAGAACAACGAGGAACTTCATGATGCCGGTTTTACGAGTGAACGCGTACAGAAAATGCTACCAGAAAGAAGCCGGAGAAATGCAGTGTAAGAGTAATACTGACAAAAACATCAAACCAACGCACAGCTTATATACATGCAGATGTAGATGTTTTGATTAATTTCAAGGTGGCCGTTGTAGTCGCTCCGTTACAGCAAAAATTTTGTTTTGTTTAGATTTTGTTGGTGATTTTCCCGGCAGTATCGTGATTGCCGTTTCCGTCCAGGTCCCAGTTTTGGCTGGTCTGGGCCATCCAGGTACAGTGTCGTTGATAGACTGTGCTGATTAGCGTGAAGGCGCGCGACGAAAATACTGTGGAGGACGGTGGGTTCGCCTGATTTAAGATATGAATTTATTTACGCTTGATTTTGTGCATATTCATTCCAGTGACACTGCATGTATTTGACCTTTATACCGACAACGATCTATTGAATAACTACCGTTCTCGTAGTCGTAATCAAGTACAAGTATCGGTCGCGCTAGCGCGCGACCAGTTGTGTTCGAGGTATGGAAAAATGAAAGAAATACAAAATACACTTCGTACAGCAATAAAAAAGGTTTTGAGAAATATTTCAATTTTCAAATATAAAACCCCAGCGAGGTCAGCTACGAAAATATTTTAAACATATGGAAATGCGGACAGTTTTTATAAGCTTTCCAGTTAAATTCGACAAGTTTTATAAAAACTGAAAGCGTTCGTAATTTCTCTTTTTGTTTGCCTTTTTCACGGTTCTTTTTCCCGTTTTTAATGTAACTTTATATTGCCGATTCTAACGAACTTAAAACCTGTATTTTTGGTACTACAGATAATATTTAAACGGTGATAAAATGGATGGAGTGAGATCATTTACACGATGCCCATAAAAACCGTCCAGTCGATAGTTCAGCGCAGAATTAATGGAAACTTGTGGGAAACAATTAACGGTTGCCCAAGGTGAACTCGCAGGCTGCATGTAAGATTGTAAGATTTTCAGCCATTCAGTCAAGCTCTTCAGTAATTATTAAAATAAAATAAATATATTGTATTATATTAGATTTCGAGCTTAGTGAATACCCAAAGCTACCGCCAGTATTACAGAGCAACGTAGTTTAGTGAATGCCTAAGCTACCACCAGAATTACAGAGCCGCTACGTGAGTGAATAGGTAAACGGGCTGCGGGCCGGCTTTTAGATATTTAGAAATTACATATAAATTAGACAACTTAAACCGTGCGATATTGAGATACTCAGATTTCTAGATATTTTTAAAATTTTGAAACTCTGGAGGCTCAGAAAATTAGAGGTAACGGCCCCGCGCAGCGGGGCCGAGTCGAAATATTTAGAAATTCTGGAAATGTAAAAGCTCTGGAGCCGACTTTGGATAAATTTACAGTTATTTTGAGGTATTCAAACGCATTTAAAAACATCTTAAAGTTTCAAGAATTTAAAAAAGCAAATTTAAAAGTTTGATGTAATTGACAATTTTAAATAAGTTACAATTAACGTTGTTAATTGGTTTTAATGTTAGCTGGAGGTTGTGTGCTCCCGCTCTTTCCTTTCGCCTTCTATAGCCAGTTACCTGGGTCGGTGGTGGCGCTGCGCCGCTACGGCCGTTAGATCAAAGCGGCCGCCACCTTGCACGCGCCGACGTTTGCGCTCGGCACTGTTCCTGTGCCCGCGCTTGGTTTGCTTTTGGTTCTGCATTTGCATTTGTCTGTCACTGCATATCTGTTCGTTTGCGCGCGAGTGATTTGTTCTTTACAAGTTCTTCAATTTTCGAACTTTTGGCGTCTCGATAGAACGTTTACTGCTGATTGAACGAACCAACATGCCTCCTACACGCAGAGGAAGAGGACGTGGGAGAATCGGCACGAATTCTACGCGCGGACAGAGGAATTCAACGCGGCCGGGTCCCCGCCGCCTGCGTTCACAAGTAGTGGTCCCAGCTACTACCACGTTCACATCAAGCACCGACGACAGTATCCGAGCGCTAGCGGAGCAAGTGGCTGCTTTACAGCAGACGGTCTCCACTTTGCAGCCAAGTGGCGGATTAGCGAGTTTGACTGTCCCTCCGGCTGGATCCCGCTCATTGTCAGAATCCTCAAATCGGATCGTCGCTGGCACCGGTAAGCAACCAATAGCTCAGATAACTATTGATAGCGCTCCAGAGCCGAAGAATAATTCCCGTCATCCGGGAGAGCCTGCCGCCTCTTCAGCTTTCAAAGATATGCAAGCCGTCAACCCTAAACTGCGAGAAACTCTTCTGGACCACACTCAGTTTGTCGATTTTGTGGACCTGCTGCCACAGAATCGCGTGCCGTCCAAGCGTCCCCAAACTGGCACAAAGATGATGCACGACCCAGCCACAGGTGAAGCGGTTTTCATGCCATCAGTTAAAAAAGAGCAAATCACGAACTATGCCAGCTGGTCTCGAGCGTTTGGAGTCTTTGTCTCCTATCGCACGCTTAACCACCCCGAGTTCACGGTTCCCTTTATGAAATACATGGATCTCATTGCGTTGTTTTCCGATCCGGACCGCGGGTACAACTTCAACCACGTCCTCGAGTACGACATGCAATTTCGGAATTACGCCGCCAACAATCCGTACGACACGGATATTTGGACGCGACGCCACGAAGAGTCGTTTCAAGAGTGTATCGCTAATCCCAAGATATCCACCTCTAAGGCGGCTAGCACTAGCGGTTCGGCTCGTCACGCGACGCTCCAGTGCGGACGCTGCAAAGAGGTTGGACATATTCAGAAGGATTGTAAACAGCCCTTTCGAGGCCGCCCTGCTGCAGAGGGGGAAATCTGCAACCTCTTCAATAAGGGCATTTGCTCAACGCCATGCCGCCGCGGACGCGTCCACGAATGCAGCGAGTGTCAGTCGCTCAACCATGGAGAGTACAGTTGCCCACGCCGCAGTGGCCACGACGTCAAACGGGAGTGACCTTCGCACCCCACTTCGGCCACACGTGTTTGCCAAATACCTCGTCGATCATCCTAATCGGCAATACGTAACCGGCCTGATCAACATGCTGACCAACGGAGCTGACCTTGGCTACACGGGCCCGCAGCTTGAGCGATTTACGCAAAATTCCCGTACAGTCTCCGAACATCCCGCTGTTATGGCTGAATGCATCCAGAAGAGCATCGGTTCCGGACACGCACGCGGTCCATTTAAAGTTTCCCCTTTACCGAATTTTGTCTGCAATGCGCTCAGCATCCGACCGAAGTCGAGCGGTGGCTTTCGACCCATACTGGACCTGTCACAGCCAACCGGAAATTCTGTGAATGACTACATTCCGAAAGATGATCCGCCTCTAAGTTTTTGTTCGGTTGACGACGCCGTAAAGCTGATTATTCGAGCCGGCCGCGGCGCAGTTATGGCAAAGCTCGACATAAAAAGCGCTTTCCGGCTGATACCAGTTATGCAGTCACAGTGGAACCTATTGGGATACAAGTTTAAAGGTAACTACTATTTCGATGTCGTACTGCCATTTGGTTGTCGATCTTCACCTCGGCTGTTCTGCGCTTGTTCGGACGCAATCGAATGGATATTTATTCATATATCCGGTCATTATGCCGTACTGCATTACATTGACGATTTTTTGATTATTGCACCGCCAGGTAGCCTTTGCGCTGAACTTGTGCTGCTGTTCAAGGAACTATGCGAAGAGCTAGGCGTTCCCCTCGCAGCAGACAAGCTAGAGGGACCCGCCACTCAGCTAGTCTTCCTGGGTATAACACTAGATTCAGTATCGCGTACGCTCTCTCTACCAGCAGGGAAGCTCGAGCAACTTATCGAGCTGCTCCGGTCCTGGTCGGATAAGTCTACGTGTTCGCTCAATGAGCTGCAAAGCCTGGTTGGTTCACTGCAATTCGCTACGAAGTGCATTCCCGCCGGAAGGCTGTTTCTCAGACGTTTGATTCAGAAAATGACAAATCTGCCGCCTCGCCAGCCGCACCATGCGCAGTCACTCCAATTAGACGCTGACTTCCAGCTCGACATTGCCTGGTGGCTGCAGTTTCTTCCGGATTGGAACGGCAAAGCAAGTTTTCTCACGATTGACTGGAGCAGGCCTGACGTGATGCAGTTATACACCGATGCATCGGGGTCAATCGGTGTCGGTGGCTATTTCGCAGGCCGCTGGTTCAATGCTCGTTGGCCTGCATGGATAAGCAGGGTCAATCCCTGTATCGAATACCAAGAAATGCTTGGCGTGTTCTTTGCTATAACCCTCTGGCAGGACTTATTTCGCAACCTGAAGGTTATGTTTCATTGCGACAACATGGGTGTATGTCAGGCGTGGGATAAGCTTGGATCCACTAACAGAGCAGTACTTTCGCTGATGCGCAGGATGGTGATGACGGTCGCTCAGAACAACTTTACTATCACTATCAAGCACGTTAATGGCTGTGACAACAGCATCGCTGACGCTCTGTCACGGTTTCAGGACATGCGATTCCGCCAGCTTGCCCCGGACGCCAGACAATCGCCGGACGCCTTACCGGATATATGGGAGGAGCTAGAGGCCAACTACATCAGTGCAATGAGCTGAACGCCGTAGCCAACCGGCTTCAATACCACCACATTGCAGCGTCCACCCGACAAGCGTATGATGCCGGTTGGTTCCAGTTTGAGCAATTTTGCGTGCGCCTTGCCGAACATCCACTCCCTGCATCTGATGACACAGTGCTCCGGTTCCTTGCCGATCTTCACTCACGGGGCATAGCGATCGCAACAGCCAAAGTTTACCTGGCATCCATCGCCAACAAACATACTGAATGCGAATTCCCGATTCCGACACGTAGCGCTGCCGTTTCTCGCGCGCTCCAAGGTTACCAGAGACTGGCACCGACGCCTCGGGATCACCGCCTGCCTATCACGCTCGATATTATGCGGTACCTGAAAGACCGCCTTTCCGCAATGAATCTTGCCACGGTCGACAAGCATATGTACTGGGCGGCATTCACCATGGCCTTTGCCGGACTTCTCAGAGTAAGCGAGTACACGGCACCATCACCAGCATCCTACAGTACGGCGCGCACGCTGCTGTTCAATGATATCGCGCTTACCGCTGACGTCATCACCGTGTCCCTTAAAACGACAAAAACTGACCAATACAGTCACGGTTACAAGCTGTTACTGCGTAAGACAGGGCGTTCAGTTTGTCCAGTTTGTGCTCTTGCGACATACGCGGCGTCAAGACTCGAACTCGGAAGTAAGCGTGAACCGCTTTTCATACTGTCCAGCAGAGCTTACCTGACTCGTCAAGACGTCGATCGAACACTGAAGCACCTGCTGTGTCCCCTGCCAGAACATCACCGTTACGGAACCCACAGCTTCCGCATCGGCGGTACCACAACAGCCGCTGTTGGAGGATCCAGCGACAATGAAATCCAGCGCCTTGGACGCTGGAAAAGCAACTGTTTCTCCGCCTACGTCCGCAGCCAAATTCCAACGGACGGAATCAATCCTTACGCCTGATCATGGATGTTGTTGGGGTTTGTTTGGGGCCTTCGGTTGCGCAGGGCACTGGTCGCTCTCTTCCGCCGACCTCCGGTCGGCCGGCTTCTCGCTGACCCACGGTCACCGCACACAGCCGCTCACGAGGGTACCAGTCGCCCAGCAGCCGGGGTTCCAACGCCCACAGTGGTCACCGGAAGCGGTAACATTAACTATTGTTTAGGTTGCTAAGTTGCAAAACCTGTATTTGCTCATTCGAGACGTTTCCAGAATTTACTGGAAATTTCTATGAACTTTAAGCGCTAAGTACTGAAAGCTTAAAAAGGTTTTTGAAAACGTTCCGGAAACCAAAATTTTTTTCCAAGCAGCAGGTAGGAAGCTTTGGGAGATGCTGGATTATCTGGATGTTGCGCGCACAAACGGTTTTCAGGCCAGTTTATACAAATCGTCTGGCTACAGAATGTCATAAAGCGAAACAAAAAAGTGTTTGGGATTGCGCGAAAGTGAAAGTTTCCGTGTATGTACACGAATTTGGTACCATGTACCGGGCCACTTTTCTTGAGCCGATATTTCGGCGCAGAATTAATGAAACTTGTGGGAAACAATAAACAGTTGCTGAAAATAACCTCGCAGACTGCATCTTTAGCTACTAATTGCAAGATTTTCAGCCATTCAGCCAGCTGTTCAGTATTTAATAAAATAAATTAAATAATAAATACATATTAAATTATTAGATTTAGAAGTTAGTGAATACTAATACCTGACCTGCCATCAGTATTACAAAGTAACGTAGGTTAGTAAATGCCCAAGCTACCACCAGTACCACAGAGCCGCTACGTTATTGAATTCAGTAAATGGGCCGCGGGCCGGCTCTTAGATATTTAGGAATTAGATACTCGTATAAATTAGACACTTTAGACAGTGAGATATTGAGGTACTCAGATTTCTAGATATTTTTAAAATTTAGAAACTCTGGAGGCTAAAAATATTTAGAGGTAACGGCCCCGCTGCGCGGGGCCGAGTCGAAATATTTAGAAATTCTGGAAATGTAAAAGCTTTAAAGCCGACTTTGGAAGAATTTATAGTTATGTTGAGGTAATCGAACGGATTTAAGAACGTGTTAAAGGTTTCAAGAATTATAAAAAATAAAATTATGTTTGATGTATTTGGCAATTTTAAATAACTATTGTTTAGGTTGCTAAGTTGCGAACTCTGTAGAAGCTAACAGCATTTAAGTACTACAACTTACGTAGTACCACATTTTTAAGTACGAGTACTAACAACCCTAAAGTACTACAACTTTTAAAAATTTTCTTTAGACCTTCTTCAAAACTTAATATTTTTTAGAAGATAAAGGTAGGAACGTTTGTGCGATGTTCTATTTTATAAAATTAACAACTTATTGAAAAAATCAGTGTTGATTTAGGAGATAATTTCCAAAACTAGCAACCGTTAAGTACTGACAACCCTTAAGCACTACAACTTTTAAAAATTTTTTAAAACCTCCTCCAAAACTTAAGATTTTTTTAAAGATAAAGGTAGGAACGCTTGTGCGATGCTGTATTTTATAAAATTATCAACTTACTGAAAAAATCAATCTTGATTTAGGAGATAATTTCCAAAAAATAAGGACGTACTGATATATGAATCTATTGATATTGATACATGTGTAGCGCTGCGCGCTACCTGCCCTATAAAACGCAAAAGTCATCGTTTCCTAGTTTGGCACAACGACAAAGAATCCATCATCGTGAAAATTTCTATAGGTTCCAACTTTCTGCAAAATCTACAAGTACCGATTGCTTGATCGTTGCAAATTACAATCGAATTTGAAAAGACTGGCTCCGTGCCCAACGCGGGGCGTTTGCAATGGTTTAATACGAGTACTAAAGAGTCTGCAGCTTATGTATTTTGTCTGTAAAAGCCCGGACGTGGTAACTAATGTGGAAAAAAAGCTTCACATATTTTCGGCAGATTTACTTCAGATAGGTGCATAACTTTGTTGCAGTTATTTTCTTGTTTCCTCTATAAAAGTACGAACATTGGAACACTTGCTTGTACGACCAAGGCTTCATAAAAATACTGCATGAGGCGGAAGCTTAACCATTAATTAAAGTAGTAACGCAGAAATTAATAATTTTACGTCAGAATAAAATTCTCAGTAAAAATTCAAATTATTATTCACGGTTGAGCGATAAGATCTTTTTCCGAAATGTGGTTTCCTGTTATGCTGAGATGTGTATTATAAATCGTAGCGTTACTGTTCTTTGTTTCGGGATGTGGGTTCCGTACTGATGTCAAAAGATGGTCGCGCTAAAATAAAAAATACGTGAATACATGTATTAGTGAGTCTCCATTGCGCAATTATCCAAAACGATTGTGCTCGTAACTAAATTATTCATAAAACGGTACGATTACGCACTTATAGTCGTCACATGCATGATATTAGGTTGTGTTATTGGTGCCCCTAACGTCTTTAGGACGATGGATATTGAAAGCAGGTAGTATAATTTGACCACGGTTTTTCGGTCGCCGGGTGCAAGAACCAGGTTCCATCGACGGTGCATTCTTTGAATGCGTTCACTACCACCAAAATGATCATTTTAGTTTTGCATAGTGGTTATTGACTGCAGTAGCAATGTTTTATCGCGACCTTACACTTGGGATTGTTAAACTCTCGGTGTGCCCACTGTGGACAAGGAATGTAGGCTTGCGTCCCAGACAAAGTGTAATTCCAGCATCCCCAACCGTCGAATACCGCGGGACAGTAACGCCTACCTGTTACATAAGACGCTGATAATCATTAATTTTATCAATGACGTATATACGAGGTATTCGTACAACTAAAGAGCGGCACCGTGCAATAAAAATTAGGAGGTTAGCGCTGTACTGTACACGGGTATAAAATTGCGCGAGTGTTATCGTAAGGGGTATTTGAAGTTTTTTAAGTAAGCTCTCCATATATTTTAGATTCTGTGTCCCGGCGTTCCTGGAACTCACGACAGGGCAGGAGTTTTCTACCTTCGAGCGAACAGTTTGTCATGATCTTCGACTATACTCGACGTCAGAGGGAATCAAACGACATCAGAAGGCCGACGACAACAATTTTACCCTTTTTCTGGATACGGTATTTTGACTCATTGTGATATGACGCACGACCGAAAGCTACCGATCTACGTGCACTAGAATATGCAGTCATTGCAATGGTTGCTTATGATCAAAATTAAAAAATACTGGAAGTACTGTGCTTCTATAGATGAAGTAGTATTTACCTTGCCGCTGTCTTTGGACACACCTGGATTATGAATAAATGTTGTTTTATATGAAGCTGAGCTCAGACGATGCTTTTTTAAAATTAAACTATTATAGCTGATACAACAATCCCTTAAAATAGTTATATTCTAAACCACAGGTCTTTTCTAATTTTTGAAAAACTTTAAAAATTACAGAAATTATTATTAATATGGCGCATATTAGAACATGAATTAATGACTGCGGTACTTCATTCTACTAACAGTAAGCATCGATACTTTATCCACGAATATTGTATAAGTAATGCTTACCGTCATTTGGATAGGGCTGATTTATTATCGTTCTGTTACATTCTGCGGAAGCTAAGTTCTGCCTCCGGGAATATTCCCGCTCAACATCCGTCAGGTTAATATATCCATCTGGAATAACAACTAAGTCGTTCGTTGAATTATTTTTTAACTGTGCTTCCAGATTGCAGCAATTTTTCTTTTGGTTGTACAAGGCATTTAAAGGAAATTTTTTTCGAAATTTAGCGGTTAATTAAATTTTGAATCTAAAGTACATACTCGGACTTCGTGGTCATGTACTCGATTTAACAGGAAATTCACCACCTGAAATAAGGAAACATCTTTACTTCACCTGGTACACCCACCTAAATCTGTGCAGTTAACACACAAAAGCAACAACGAAGTACCCAGTATCACGAAGAGCATCCCTACTGTGCGGTACTGCATGATTGCGAAACTGCTTGTATGTATACAGCAGAGTATGCAATAATTTTGCGTAAAGTGAAAATATCATGCGTAGATTCGTACCAATAGTTATAAAATCAATTGTTATATTTCTATCTAATTTATCTTGCAAAAAGACGATGTGCGGTATGTGAAACTCATATTTCAACAAACTTAAATATATCGATCGGCGTTTCACAACATAAAACCGCATTCATGGATTATTATCAGAGCAGAGCCGTACACTACCAAAATATCTATTTATCACACTGCAGATATACAGACAGAAAAAGATAAAATCTAGCTGTAATTCCTCAAAAGCGGGGCAATAATTACTGCGGTACTGGACTTCCCACGGACTGCTGCCAATTGATATACCGCTTATACGTTTAAAATAAATATTCGATATCTACTACTATCTATACAAGTAGCCTAAGAACCAGCTTTAACGTAGAATAATATGATTATTATTAAATTTTACTATAATTATTTTGCGTTCCAGCGCCTACTGCAATCTGCACCATAACCATACGGTCCATACCTACAGAGTACGTACTGTAACCTTCACCCGTCTTTTTTTACGCATTAAATTTTTTTTTATTTACACATTTGTGGTTGTAACATTTCGATTCAATGTGCAAAACTGCATGGTAGAATCAATTCAGCAAATGTTTACGGAAACCACTTAGTAAATTCAGATAATATGAGCCATTAATATTAATGGTCTATTTTTACAGCTTCTAAACCCTTCTTTGCTTATGCAAAGGAAATTCTTGTGGGATGTGACAGTACAGACAGCCGATACAATAGCGTATCGGTATCGGCAGACGGCACTGCCGGATCCTCGACTTCAGTGTCTTCTTTGGACGAGCGTGACCGTGACCGGGACCCCGTACTGCCGCCCGGTGAGAGTCGCGACACCGGTTCTTCGAAACAGCTGGACCCGGGAATCTCCTGGTAGATGTGCTCTTCTTCCTCGGCATCCACGGTGACCTGGTGGGCGATCTTAATCTGCCGACGCCAGGAATCACTCTGCACTTTGGCAAAGGCCAGCGCTGACCGGAAGCGACTGTCAAGGTATAGCGCATGCGCCACTGGCGCCACCTTCAGCTCGAACTCCGAATTAAAGTCCACTTCGAAGAGCTGATAGGGCGGCTGCTGCATGGTACAGGCCAGGATGACGTCACACGTCTGGATGGATTCCAGTTGCAGGAACCCGCTAAAGTGCTCGTGCATTTCCGGTAGATATCCACAGACTAGCTTGACGCGACACGGAAACCGGTACCCGGCAATCAGTGTCGACATGAGATGAATACAGTCGTTATTATAGTCTTTCGGTCGTTCCGGGTCGCTGATCAGGTAGAACGTCCCGGCTGACGTTAAGGGAATGTACAATTCCTCGTGGAATGCGTTCACACATTTCAGGTATGACCTTTGTGTGAAGTCCTCGGCGGTGGATACGACGGTCTCCTCAGAACTGCAAGAATTGCCATATTCGTAGAATTTCTGCCGTCGGGTAAACAGTTTAATGATGGATTGTTTGAGGGTGGCCCGGGAGGTCATGCTGCCGGGTCCCCGCCGGATGAAGGTCGTCTGGTCGGTGAAGATGCCGACAGCGCGCAAGACCGTGCCGGAGGTAAGGATTGTGCGTTTGTAGTGGCGGTCGGAGATGCGACGGAATCCCTGTACGACGCAATTGTGGATGAGGAACGAGGAGGAGACACGGCCGGATGCTTTCATCAGGTCGTTGATCATCATGAACCGCTTGGCAGTTGACCGGCCATTTTCATCCAAAAGGGCAAACAAACCTACACAACAATAATGACGTTGTGGTGGTACAATAATATTGTTTCATGATCCTACTTTTCTTCTGTAATTTGTAATTTGTTTCGATAACATTGTACCTTTCAGTATCTTATACAATAAACCTTGTATGTTTGTTACGGATGTTTAGTATTTTTTGACCTGAAACACTACGTCGGAAGTTTTATTTTCCGCCGAAAGCAGCTTATATATCTGAGTTACTTGTGTATACCAGGAAGTTCCCTTTTTATTGTACTCTTAAACTCCTATAACTTACAAATACTTTGCGGAAATTATGAGGCAATAACTACGTCGAAACAAAATTAACTTCATAAAAAATAAAATTCAATTAATAATAAAATAATAAAATATTTTTATTTATATTGAAAGTCATTCTCACTGCTTTTGGTTGAATTCAGAAACGTAACCCGATTAATCCGATTAGCCATATAACACACATACGGTACTACTGTGAGGCTTGTTAAGACTGTCCTCTAATAATTGTTATGAATTTTCGCAAGCTTCTGTGGTGAGAAGAGACTACAAAGCACAGCTAGGGTACGTTGTACAATAGACAAGTATTGCAATAATAATAATAATAATAATTATTGATAGTAGCTTCGAATAAAATAGTAACTTAAAACCGATGTTAAAGGGAACCCAGCCACCCGGATGGAGCAGTCACACATGTCGAAAATCGATTCAATGGAATTAAAACAAGCAACGGAAGTGACTGTGCGGAGAGTGCCTCTACAGTGGCCAAATGGTTATCTTCCAACATTTTTATGAGTCGTGAAGCACGATTACATATAACACTAACGATTTGATAATGTTAAATAAATTCTGTTTCATTATATAAAATAATGTGTAAACAAAAAGACGACAGCTTTCAACAAACAACAAGTTTGATATCCTGGATTTTAGAAACTCGGAATAAAACGGGCTGCCTTAGCCTATATAAGCCGGTAAAACACTAAGATACCGAGGTGTTTCCACCTCATATACTAAATTGGAAACGATACAGAGAAGATTAGCATGGCCCCTGCGCAAGGATGACACGCAAAATCGTGAAGCGTTTCCAAATTTTTTTGATCGAATTTCTTCTTTAGCACCTTTAATATGTGTAATTAATCCCAAAATCCTAATCCCAAAATTATGAATTTTAATTTATTGATGATTGATGGCTCTCACATTTCAAGATTAATAGTGGGTTTATTTTTGGTACTCAATAAAGAGTATCTGTAGAGTGTTGATCGCAGGTTCGTCAAATTACTAGTATTACCTACAAAAATGCAGCTGAACGCTTCCAAAACATTTAATAATAAATTTTTTAATAACACTCGACGTACACGTCTGTCTACTCGATAATACAAACAGCCAGTGATCGAGATAGGTGTGGTCAGAGCCACAGAGAAAGCAGCAGCAGTGAGCAGTCGCTGTTCTTTGACCAGAAATCAAGACAATGCTACAAATTTATGCATTTTATAGAGAAGGTATATCGCAGTATGTGTTACACGAGACTGGCAAATATTTATTATGACGTTGATCGATAACGGTGATTCAGTGAATACAGTGCCCATTATATTGGATCATGCCAGATCAAAAAGTAACATTTCTGCCAAAACTGCTAATGCACTACATCCTGGCACAGGTATTATCCAATTGATGTCAGTTGCACGTGCGCTTCAACTTAATCAAAATTCTAATCGCTTGCACAATGTTTCAAATCTACTACGCATATAGTATATAATACGGTTGTTTTATTGTCGACTTGAGTTATTTACAAAAAGCTGACGTGCCTGTAGCTGAATGGATAACCAAAATGTCAGATTCAGAGTTAATATCTTTCTCACTTAATTACAGATATGCAAGTACGTTGCAAATACATTTGGAAATTCAGAAAGAACGAAATTATTCGAAATTTGATAGCCCAAAGCCTTTCGAAATTAAATACAGTGCTGGTACTTTATGAACGAGCAGTTTGCATAACAATGTACAAAAACATTTCCCCAGCTAGCCAATTTTCGTTTTTTAGATTAACAACTTCCGTTACTGCGTACCGGCACCGCAACCTTAATGACCGCGACTGACGTCACAAATGTTAAAGATTTTAAAAATATTCTTGACCGCTACGGAGTACTCGTCTGCGACTCTGCGTTCAAGTTGCGGCATCCCTGCTGCTTATCAAGCCGAAATCAGAGCGCTACCGTGTGAAGATTACAAGCTTTAAACGCTTATTACATTGACCTATTTCGTGCGAAATTATGCGGACACGCTGAGAACTGTCGCTGGACAGCACTTGTTGGGCCGCTCGATTTCTCTTATAGCCGGCTAACCAGGGTTAATTTGGCCGAGACGAATTTGGTCTTTTTGTTGCGGAAGATGTGCACTTGCAATTACTTTTTCAATGAACGATGCGTTTTCCTTTATAGGATTCACAATGGAAGCGCGAGTAATATTTACCGCATCAAAATCACACACGTACGGAAATTACCGTATAACAATATATACACAAAATTATGTTGTTTATAACGCCGGTGAAAATCGCACGAATAGAGGAAAATAACTGCTACAACTTTTCTATGGATGACTGAAACGTTCTTTATTTATTTACATAATGTCCCTACGTTAAATTTGTGGCCACGGTGTCGCGTCACCCAACACCAAAACTACCATTGTAGATAGTTTTATACTTCAAGCCGGGTTGAATTACCTCGTGTAAAACGGTTTTTTTAATTAACGCCATAAATGTGACATGTATTTTAATATGTCAGCAGGATTTTTAAAAAATGTATATTAATTTATAATTTAGAAACGATTTCAAATAAATAAGAAAAACTGCGATAATAATTACAGTACTTGGAGCGCATTCTGAAAATGGTTTGTTTATAAGTACTATGCAAGCGATATACCTTCCAAGGCAACTTTCACGAAGTGGCGCACTTGAGCTACTTGTAATATAACACACAAGATGCTAGCGTACAAAGAATCGCCAAGAGTCTGCAATCTATGAATATTTCATAAGTATATCACTTATGCACGCGCTGAAAAAGCGTAGAGAGAGAAAAATGTAGATTAAATTATGTAATCGCTTTTGCTTTTCCTCACACGGTAGACACCGGCATGCAGTGCCTGCATAAAAAGGTCAAACTCCATATTAATAACTGAATGCTCAGTGCGGTGATTTTATTTTCAAATAAACATTTGCCACTGTTTCGCCTCTAAGTGACCGGTAAGAAAACAGATCATTCCGTCTTAATGCGACAGAAAAATCCAGTTGATCTCGTTTGTTGCTCTTTGCACTTGAATCAGCGCGACTAGATATATATCGGTGATCCAACAAGTGCCCCGGTTATGCAATGGCTTTGAGAATGGGCTTAACTTAAGAATACACTTCAACAACGAGTAAGCAGTTTTTTGCTGTTCCTGTTCGGTTGTTCCTAACTTTTTGCGAAGTGAACAATCCATTTGAATAGATAGGTATATCTTCTGTAAAACATTTTTCCGAATGGTTCTCGAGCCTCCTCAATCTTTGCATTGACTGGAATGATAATCCGCAGGAAATAATAACACCGGCTGGGCCAAAAATGTCATATGGAATTTGTTTTTCATTGGAGTATTATCAAAAGATTGCTCCAGACGTATCGTAAATTCCGCGACATCATTCATTTTCATTCTTATGCAATGCGACGAAGCAAACGCCGTATGGTAAAATCAGCATGCACGAATGTTGATTAATGAGCGTGGCTACTGTGCATGTTACTTCGTTTCGAGACTAAATTAATTCCGTTGCCATCGGCTTTAATTGCGAGTCTCGTTAGTCTTCGACAGGAAAGTAAATGAAAAGGAAAGTTACTCTATTTTTTAGTTATTACAAACTTACAAGGAGCGGTGCAGTACTATTTCTTTACCGCCAAACGCTCATAAAGCGTAATAATGCCACAAGGCAATAGCGTAGTGCAATAAGGGAAAGAATACAAAAATTATCATGTGAATGAACCGCACGAATTACGTATTAGGTATAATTTTACAAGGTTTACAACGTTTTCTTATGGAAATTTCATTCAGCACCGACGGATCGTAAAACGAAGCCGAAGTGTCAAAACTGTCCTGCATTTCTGTGGCGTCAGAACTTGCTGAAAAGAAAGTCTGTATGACAAAAATTCAAGTTTCTGCTTTTGATGGAAAAGTCTCGGCTGAATAAAAAAAATCCAAGATCGCTTTGTTTTATCCAAGACTAAAGCTGGCCAAATTTAAACTCTGAAAATCTAATTTATTTTGAATTCTAGATACTTTTAACAGTCTGATCTCTCATGTAATAGCAGTAAGAATAAAAAAACTGTGACCAATTTGTTACTAAAACAGTGTTTTCATCGTATGTGAACCATGGATCAATATTGCCATTTTTCAATTTTGTACATAATAAGTGCTTAAAATTCGTTATGCAGATAGTCTGTTACAATCAGCTGCGAAAGAGAAAAAATCGGCTTTGCATACCATTTTCTCACGGCATTCAAACAACGAGCAAGAAGCATTTCCGTATTAGTAGATCAGACAAACCGCCTACGCACGCCGTAGTTGCGGGCGTGGCAAGCATGAGATTTGATATTGTTTAGTGAATGATTTACGACATATGTGCGAGTTTTTGCCTATGAAAAAAAACAACACGGTAAACAGTTTTAGGCATGATTGTTCGCTCTGAAAACCTACACGCTCGTTAAATGTAACCACCACGCAAATTTCGATCTAGCTGTCACTGTGACACTTTCGTAATGGAAAAGGAAAGTCATACACAAATTGGTTTTCCTTCTGGTAAACAACTTGGGTAATTACCCTAGGGTCGATCAGTAAATTTGCAATGCCGCGTAAAAAATAATAACAAAAATAATTTCTTGTGCATTTCGAAACGTAAAAACGATTAATTTTAAACAGTAACTGTAAAAGAATATTGAAGTTATTGTGTATACATATCCGCTGTAGCGTCTGATCGTTTGTCAACTTGTCTATAATAATAACATGCTACAGGTTTTAAAATTACGTAACGGAGATAATTTGAAGACACCCGATCGTAAAAATTTTGCTCCAAAAATACATATAGTGAAAAATGGCAGAACTGCAAACCGGTTCTCGTTTTCAACGCCATTAATTAAAAGCACAAAAGTGTTTCTACATTTTGTCGTAATGTCGTCGGCTTACTTATACAACGTCAGGCGCTGCAGTGAAACTTAAGCACATGTGCGACACATTATATCATAACACTGTAAAAGAGTAGCAATTTTCCCCTAATAAGGGTGGTTTAATGCAAAACTAGCGTATAATTATATACCTAAATTTCTTTCACACATTTTTTGTGCAGATCGTCGTTTATGCGAATAAATTAAAACACAACCATTCTGAGATAATGTACATTTGTCCGTAAAACTATAGCCCCATTAAAAAACGTTCTGCAATTTTTTCCAGCAGGGTGAAATTAATAAAATTAATTTCAACTGTTTAGCAGGTGTAAAAAGTAGCACAGGCATTTTCTTATATTACATTAATGGTATTTTTGGCAAAAACGATTTGCCGTGTATGCACAAAATATATTACGTCTAAATAACTGATAGTAAACGATTGCATGCGTTTATAAGTATGAAATTAACTACTGTGCGGCAATGCATTATACGGACCCGCGTCTTAATTGCGAACGGAAGTGCATGTTTTTGTCAACATACCTGTGTATCCTTTTGGAATGACCAGTGACATATCCCCGTACGTCTGAAAGACATCCTTGCGTTCAACACGATGCCGGTACAGCAGCCGTGCTTGAACTTTGACACTTTTGTAGGCTTTATACAGCAACAATGGCTGATAGAGATCGAGATCGGCATCCGATTCCACCCGCTCATTACAGTTGATCTTGACAATCTGCGGCAGCTGGAAGCTACTGCGCAGTTCCGCTACGGAGTAATTCTCGGGACTCCATTCCCCGGCCGGCATCTTGTCATCGAACACCATGTTCGTAAAGTATCCGTGAAGGAAAAATCCCGCTTACTGTCGATTAACGCTGTATAAGGCGCCGAAATATGAACAATTCCATTGTTGCACAATAATGGCGTGTACATACGAACACAGTCAGCAGAAGTCCATGTGGATAATTTTGTGTCCCGAAGGGGAGTTCCCTCGGCGAATGCCAATTATGCGGCTGCAAATATCAGCATAAATAAAGTATTGCAGCATATACTTGTTAACCGTCGACGCGGTATATACGACCTGTACCGACTGGAGAAATGCTGTGGTGCAGTTTTCTTAGTGATTTTTTTGACAGCAGCGCGCCAAAATAATCGCTCTTTCCATTTCACTTACTACAACCTGTTCGTGTGCCAGCGTTTGCCGTATGTGCATAAACCTTATAACACGCAACGACGGATTGGTCACTTTTAGTGCAGCCCCGTATGGTTTAGCAAGCGACTGTATATATATCGAAAAAATGAACTAAATTAAAGGAAATATGAAAAAGTTATTTGGTTACTGTAACTAATTACAAAGGTCAAATTATTCATAAAAAAAATTTAAGCGATTTTTTACTGGATGCGTTACTTCCTTATGCAACCACCACTGCACGAAATACCGGCTGGAGGGTGTTTTTTCAGTTGGTCGGATCGGCGAACAAAAAAACGCTCGATTGAGTTGGAGCTTCAGTCGGCTTGGTGCGGCACCAACGGCGATTCGCCGGGCCGTTATTTCCGCCACAATGCTGTTTTCACACAGTCGTTGGTCAGTGTAATTGGCGTTTAACATAGTTTAATTTTTCCTACAAATGATACGCGGGCGCCGTAGTCTTGTCATGCAGTGCAAAATAACATGGAATTTGCTTGGCAATGCTCTGATAGTTTTACGGTTTTATCGCGTATTATGCCGCTATCGTGCACCGGTAGTCGCGCGGACTCCGTGTGCGCGTGGCTGATAACAAAGCAATGAATGGCCGGTTTAATTTACCGATGAAACGGCGCCGTTGTGGTAATTATATTTTTTTTCCATTCCGGTGTACTGTTTTTCGGCTTTTGTGCTAACTATTACCAGAAAGCCAACGCGCGAGATCTGAATCTGCTGCGAATAGTTTTGTTGCGGTCGGTAGATAATGAAGCGGTTAATGGTTTTATATCATTAATCATTTTCAGTTACACACAATCGCATCAAACCTTATGGTTAGAACAACACAATTTCTTAATTTATACATGCATTATAAAAATAGAGCACACTGGTAATTTTAAGTACTGACACGGATTGTTACAATATCGGATAATCACAGTATTATATAATATACTTCGGGTTTCAGTCTCTCATTTAATACCCTAAAGAAAAAATGACGAATAAAATTTTATTGAAATTTTGTGTTTTTATTAATGGCAAGCATCGGTTAAAAGATGGTGCTTTTACAAAATGAATTCTAATGGAAAAAGTGAAAACATTTAAAGAAATGGAAATTGTACAAATTTTCTAAACCATCTGTTTCGTCGATACATCAACAGATACAAAAGCCGTAACTGCAGGTTCTGCTCCACCTGCGGCGCGCTGCAGCAGATACAGGAGCATACGAAGCACCAGCTTACAAGTTAGTCGAATGTTCGGTTCCGGTCGGTTAGGAATTATCTCAAGTATCGGCTAAATGCAAAAGAAGAGGGTGCACGTTTTTCTCCGTTGCAAGATTATTGGTTTTACACAACCGGCTCAACATGGAGGGAAAGTGGTATTTAGACAAACACTTGCCCATTAAATGTAACACTAACATAATTAAATGTTTCCGTCGCGGTCTAGCCTTGAAGTTTTCGGGTCACGGCGCAAAGAAGTTTGTTGCTGTCGCGCCGCAATCGATTGCGGCATAACATAACATTGCAAATTTTATTATCAAATTCAGCCAAATAAAATTTCGCACCACAAAAATGAAAGTACAAAATCATTATGTTTTTTTGTAAAAATTGTTTTAAAATATTTTAGTTAATTTTAGAACGTAAAATGTTTTTTAAATTTAAATCTCTGTCGGCGTATTAACATTTGTATTGTGCATATATGCAATACCACGTTCCTTATAGTACATATATACCCCGTTGCTCGTTATGCCCAACACGGCTTTGTGAGAAAAGTTGATTTTCGGAATTTCTTGATATCTTTTATTTTGCGAAATTTATCTGCAGATATAAAATGAAAGATATATAATAATGCTATATCGGTCTCCTCTGAGAGCGGATAATGCGAATTAATCACATAATCCGAGCCAATCGAGACACGAAAAGCCGGTCGACATAATACGGTTCTTTTCATCACAACCAGCCCCAACGTGAATTTAACATGAATTTCTACGTCAATCGCACCATCACCGTTTACATACCGACGAACGCTGTTTTTCTCCACTCATGATAGCAAATTAATCAACAAATAATTGGCGACACTATCTACATTACGCCGCAGTACCTACTCGACGGGGGCATTTTGTCTCAATTTGATTATTCAGTCAATTTGCCGGAACCGGCCGGCTAATCAGGTGGCAGTTAAATCAAATCATCATCGCAGCAACCGTTTTGACGGATTACCTGTCAACGGTGACAAAACATAACCCGAGCGCCTGTATACATATACCGGCGTAATGTCTTATGAAAGCCTTCTCTTAATAATTACGCATATGACCTTTCGTAGTAATGCTGAACCGTCGTTTGATCCCGGCGAGCATACAGTTCCTCGGCAAACAGCCCGCTTCGGTCACGCATAGACGGCAACAGAAGGTGAACAACAACAACACCCTGTCCTGCACAGTTTAAAGACCATCGCTGCCGTTAATCGAACGATTTAGATCGAAAAATGCCATCTGGTCTGTTTACACAGTATATTCGATTATTATCGTCCTTAGTTGGCCGAACCAGTTTTCTGTGTGGTCTTTGTGGTTATAACAAGCTGATCGTAAGATGTTATACCGCTTTTAATGCAATGCGATTTAGCCTTTAATAGCGGCGCAACCAATATGACATCCAACCATTACACTGGGTGACTGTTCCACAAGACTCACAATCATTCTGGTTTATTTTTACGCACACAATAAAAGAAAAGGTACAGACGATTTTATTAATTTGATCGAATACGATTCATGTCACAAAATACAACAACGAAAGTCTAGCTTGCAAATTTCGTAGCTCAGTAATGGCAATTTATTGTGAACCTAGCGTTTCCTTATAAATTACGAGTATAATCAATGCACGTGTGTGGAGTTAAACAGGCAAAACATCTAACTAGCCAAAGTTTTAAAAATTTATTTTTCTTCACAAATCTTTTGAATAAATAGTGCTGTTGAGAAGACGAGAAAATCAGTACAAGTACACAGTTGTCATGAATTCAAGGGAATCGTTTGATTAATTAACGGTTGGAACCAAACCGAACCATGATACAGGTAAACTCGATAAGATTAAAAAATGCATTTACATGCCGCAATTACATTGACGAAAAACATGACGCCAAAGCTGCAGTGGATTTAAAAAAATAAAACTTTAAAATTCGTTAAGCCTCCGTTTTGGCTTTCTCGGCAGCCGCAACAAATGCTTTGGGATCAGCCACGACTTCCTGGCTTATCTGCCACAGGCGTTTGGCCTGAACGAGATCTCGGTTGCCAATCGGCATTTCCTTGGGCGTACAGTTCTCCACGTATGATCCGGAAAGATTGTCCAGCTGCGGACTCAGTGCGGTGTATAGTACTGCAGAAGAAAACGAATTCAACATCAATTCCGATATCACGTACCGAGATTCCCAAATACAAAAGCTCAGTAAACTAACTAACTCCACTATTAATCTAAGCAGAATTCAAAAACCTCGTACAGGACGCATGCATCAAAAGTTTCTTAATGCATGACCATTTTGTAGTGAACGCCATACTGCCTAACGGGAATGTGGCAAACAAAAGCATTCCGTGTGCTGAATTAAATCTAAGTTAATACGACAATCTAAACGAATTTCTGTGTAAAACTAATAGGAAAAAATGGGTTAATCATATGTAAATGCGGTATCGGGAATACCGTTCAAAAAATTTACTATAGGCCAAATAATTTTAAGATTCAATGTTGTTAAAAATTTTACCACAATTATTTTCGGGAAATTTTCAAAAACGAATCTGTAAGAAGATGGTACGATTATAAAAGATTAAAGTTATCGGAATGCGTCAAATGTCGATGTGGTAAATGTTTAACAAACATCCAAAAAAAGAAACATGCACGTACTGGGCTGTGCGGCTTTTTCCGCCGAGGGAAATAAAAACATCAGCAGTGGCTGAAGAAGCACTTTGATAATAAAGGACTTGTCGCCGCAAACATGACGAAACACTTCGGTGTTGGAAGGTCCCGGGTTGACGGCAAAAAACCGGACCGGGAAGGCGCCGACTTGAAAGGCGGCCGAGTAAATGGTGTACAACGTAGCCAGTTTGGCTTGACGGTACACGCGATCCCGATCGTAGGACTTGACCGAGTTCAAGTCCTCCATACGCATTTCAACGGAGCCGGCCGGATACGTCACCGCGGTGACGCGAAAAGGCGAACTCCTCCCGTATTTCTCCACCAACAGGTTGGTCAGTAAGAAATGACCTATAAAAAATGTCTCAGATTAGAAAACACTTTCTTCGAAGCCTGACCAACCCGCGCACTGTCTACCAATGATTCAACGCATAGAATGACTATACAGTACGAGAATCTTTACCAAAATGACTAACTCCCATTTGTTTCTCTAATCCGTCATGCGTTTCTTCCCGGCGGTGTTTCTTCACGGTTTCCGCGGCGTTAATTAATCCTTTCAGCTGCAAATCTGTAAAAATGTTAATTAAGCATTCTGGCGCATCCGCCGTGAAAATTACAAACTAGAATTAATTTACAATATATATTTTCACTATTATCATGCTGTGCAGAGCGTGAAAGCCCTCAGAAATTAAAGGCATACACATATCTTCGTTAAATAAAATTTTGTTACAAATTTTGTTGTTAGCGATTTTCAATTGTTTTGTATTGTATTGTATTGTGTTCGTCTTTACGGAACAAAATAGACATTCAACTTGTAATTTTGTACTTGTTCTGCATTATTTTGACGAATACAGTGAGAACGTTTCAGAAAGTTTAACAATCAGTCTAAGCCGGATCATCAAAATCCAAGCCTACGAAGCCATTACTTCTTTTCTCAAATCCTGTATATATTTTATTAAAAACTGATTTAAGTAATAAAAAAACTTGTTAAAAATTATTTGGATTATTCCTGAAGCGAGGCTATTTACGGTCCAAATGTTAAGTGCATTCAACAAAATTATCCCGGAACACTCTCCAAAAATTCTAAATCAAGATTCGCCAATATTCTAAACCTGCCATTCGCTCACAAAAGAATGGAAAACCGAAAACGTACGAAATTATGCAATTAATTCTGATCGTGCGTTAAACTTTCGAGAAATTCCTTCCTCAGCGTACCTGCTGGCAGTTCATCCACAAACTTGCGGACTGATTTCAGCGATTTCAAATCCAAATCCGCGCAGTCCACATCATGGTTGGCGTACTTCGTTGAATGCATGATGTGCTGGCGAGCCTGATGACAGCGATCCTGATTCTTGGCGGCCAAAATCACTTTGGCACCTGCACACACACATAGTGACATACGTACACTGGAGGCTTCTCCCTCACCCAGGCGTGTAATTATTTTTTAAAGCCACCTCGTTTTGCCAGCTCCCTGGCGGTCTCCTTCCCGATCCCGGGATTGGTCGCGCCCGTCAGAATAAACGCCTGGCCCTTTAGCTGCAACAAACACACGCGGATAGAAAGGATTCTCCTCTAGGAACAGAAATGCAGCGGAAATGCATAACAGCTTCATCGCAGCATTGCTTACATTTTCCTCTCCCTTGTATGTGCATCCTGAGTGTTCGCTGCAAAACAAATATCTTACAGAACAGTAGACTGTGATTTTTCACAGGATAGACAACCATACGGTCGAAACAATTTATTAAAATGCTGAATTCCACGGAGATATCACATGCAAACAGCGTGCTCACTCACATATAGAAATGGTAGCCTCCAAGCGCACCAGCCAGCCCCAGTCCCACAAGCAACTTCTTCGACATAATGCTGGGTTGAACTCCAAATCAGTGCAAATTCAACTCTGGCTGAAACTGCATCCAACACGAGCAAACCACACAGATAAGCTAACTTCTTAAGAAAAGTTACTAAGAAGATGAAAATTACCAGATGGGCACTTTAAACTTAAAAACAAAAATTCAAAAGTGAACAACAGAAACTCAAAGAAGGCACGCTGGATTTTTGTGTCAAAGTCAAAAGTGCCGTATGTGCTTAGAAGTGCTTGCCCGTTTCTGCAGCTTTACTTACTGACGCCCGTGGCGGTTGACGCCTTACTCATAAATAAAACATTTCCGGTCGGCGGCGCTTTTAGGTTCCCCGTTTTCTTTATACTACGCAGCCTACGCTGTAATGTCGTATTCTGCTCATTAATTCTGGGGTACCCTGCTCAGTATAGAGTCTAATTTCCGGTGTGCAGTGTTTACTTACATCTCGCAATCCATGGATAATTAACGGGTTTACTTCATACACGCCACACATACTGTAGAGCCGATAGTGGTGCATGGAGCGGTACGTGATCGTAATTCTACATTCATTCTGCTTTTAAATCAGTAATTCAGCTTTCTGACAGATTTCCACAGTTACTGATCTGTCGAAATACAGCAGAACATTCTGTAGTCGAGTACAAAAGATCCACTTTTACACAATTCCGAATCACAGAACTTTCTTTTTGCACTGTGAGTATATAATATTTCCAACGACCAGCACAGTTCACACATATAGAATTTTGTACACAGAAAGGGCGGGGACGTGCTGACCCTTCATCTACCAGACGGCATATTTCGTTTCCGGATTCATGGCATTCTCACTGCCGATGGGCGGATTACCCACGGCGGGGGCGCACCGGTAAGCCTGGGCGAAAGTGGGAGAATTCTGCAGCGGTCCAATTACACGGTAGCGGCCTGGGCTGTGTGGTCCTGTAAAGCAAATAAAACCAATGCCGATACTCTCGTACTTGTAAATTTAATACGCTGTAGTTTAATGAATATATATTATAGTCTCACTAATAATCGTTAGTTTTCCCAGAATTAACAAGCTAACATGATGGAACAACGTACTGCTTAATTGTTTCTTCATTTCTTGTGGCGTGTAATCACTGCACCACACCTGCAAAGGTCAAGAAACAAGTTCACCACATTCTTTGTGACAAGAGGTGTGTATGCAGTTCCTAAAGAGTGAAGTATGCACATACCTGGGCGTAGCTGAGATAAAACATTTGCTCTGCAAAAATATAATAGATGTTGCAAATGAGTACGCGGCGTTATATACCGACGCATGTAAAACGGATACTGCAGTAAAACGTGGATTCTTATAGAACAAAATTATTTTACCGGGTGTGAAGTCATGGAATCCAGGGAGGCGATCTTCCGGCTTTCCCTGGCGTTTATCTTGGATGTACGCTTGATAAGCCTAAAAAGCGTACACATGAAAACAGATGTTTTCTCACAGTGAAACACTCTTTACAAGAACGTTTTTACCATAAACGATTCCTTGATGCCACCGTTGTCGGCAATGTTTTCGCCCTGATTGCCTTCGCCGTTCAATTGGCTGCCCAGGTAGCTGTAGCTAGAGTACTGCTTGACAATGCCGTCCGCTCGTTTACGGAATTCCGCTTTGGATTCCTTACTCCACCAATCGACCAGCTTGCCGTCACCATCCACTTGCGAACCTATAGTTGATTTTGTGGATTATAGCGATTACAAAGGAGGCAAATTACAAAATTCATTAAAGTTCTTGCACTTCAGATATTTTGAAGTTTAATGTACATAAAAAATTATCAGTGTATCAAAAACGTCTATGAGATCGGTACCGTGATTCTTAAGGTTACTCACCTTGGTTGTCAAAGCCGTGAGTGATTTCGTGACCGATAACAGTGCCGATGGCAGCGTAGTTCCAGAATTTGGGATAACCATGTCCTAAGAATGGAGGAGCAAGGATGCCGGAGGGGAACGCTACAAAAATATATGGTTTAAAGTTTACCCAACTTAACCGCATACGTACGCTGCTGGAAGGCGTTCATAGAAAACCTATTGTCGAAACTATGAAATAAATTTTCTAACTGCAGACACGTTTCTTACAAATAGAGTTGTAGTCTGGCATATAGAAAGCGTTAACGACAGCGGCGCCGGTAATCCAATCCGTGACCTCGTTAGGCCGGAGCAGCTTTTTGCCTTCCACATCGACCACAAAGTTTTGGGCGGTAATAAAGGTGCCCAGCAAGTCGTCCTTGACCGTGAACTATAAAAAATATATAAAATTACAACTTCGGTTATTCCATAATAGAAATACAGCACTACCATTGTCAGATAAATATACTGTGGCTTGGCACAATGCAAAGTATTACCTTACAGTTGCACAGCATCTATTGCGCAAAAGTAACTACGGTACTTAAAAACTTTTGTTGGTGACTTGCATTTGTGTGCTCCGCATTAACCGCGTTAGTGTCGTTCATAAGGTAGTCTTCGTAGGCAACCAGCGAAGTGAACTTGTTGGCCTTAGCCAAAGCCTGCGCACGCGTGTCTTCATCCATCCAGTAGGACTCCTGTCAAGTGTAAAGAAAACATTCAAAGTTGAATTTTTGACGTCCCTCACTGGCAGTTTAATTTTGCATTTTATTGCCATCATCTTCTGTTTTTTGTATCACTCCCTGTGTATCATATTACCTGAATGATCTTCTTGAAACTGTCCATCAGGAAGACGATCATCTCTTCGAGCTACAAACAGTAGTGCTGCAGTTGTCGTTGGCCAAAAGGATTCACATAAGCATATAAATCCTATTGCGTGCAATTGTATACAGTAGTGAGATGTACACAAGACCGTAATATTACAAACCGACATACCTCCTCCTTGGCTTCGCGGCGGAAATACTTTTGCACATACATACTGCCTACTGCCTTGGGCAGTTGGGCGTTGATCATATCAATGCAGGTTTCCCATCGCGGAGGCTGCGCCGTGGTGCCACTGAGGACATTTTCGAAGCGCGCGGCAACAGCCCGCACATCATCCGGCAAAACTCTTAGATACGATTCGATGACCTTAAAGCCGATATATTGGGCAAAAAATCTGTAACGGATCCCATCTTTCAGTCTAGACCATAATCCGTTTGAAGTAATAAATACTTAATTTTTGAAAACAACGTTAATTTCTGACGAAAATGTCATTCTGGTAACCTACCGTGTACTGTTTATCCTAGCTGCAAGCTCGTTGTTGAGAGCGTCATAATAATCCGGTTGTCGCACATTGACCATCAAATCGGCGTTGATTTTGTCTTGCGCCATTGGCCAGACTTTCTTGAAATACTCCACCCAGTTGTCAGCAGTCAGACCGATGGCCGTCGTGTAACCGGCAATATTTCTCAACTGCGTTGGATGCTGAAGCTTGGTTTCGTCCAGAGTCTGCTCGCGAGGCAGAGTGGCCTGTAATAATTTTTTTTTATTTTCGCTTTAAGGCATACGTGTCTAACGTCGATGTTGCCAGTTGTGTTTTACGTTAAGCTACATACGTTCATAAGAGCGGCTTCAAACTCAACGATTTCCGTGAAGATTTGATCAAAGTCTTCCGGTACGGAGGTCTCATTGTGCAGATGATTGTAGACAACACTGGCCAGCTCCATGCCATAACGCTTATATGCCTCGCGGGCGGCAATCATATCGGGATCGGTCTTGTTCAGGTAGTAATTACGCTGCAGCGCAAAGACCGGCACTTCAAAGTTGATGACGTTGTTGGCGGTGTTATTGGGGTCACCGAAGAGGACGGTGTTGAACACACCCAGCATGTTTCCCTGTCGACGGGCGTGGCTCATCAGGTTCACCAGCTGATCCGGGCTGAAATCAGGCAGGTCGCCGGTGTTGTTTTCGAAGGGCCAGTTTTCCAAGCCCATGTTAAAAGCGGTCAATTCGCGAAGCAGGGCTGTCCATGAGTCGGCATCGTTTATGAGAGCTATAAGCAAATTTTACATTATTTTTGGCTGAAGTAATGTTAAAATACGTACAAGTATATACGGTAAGTGTGTGCAAAAATTCAAAAGGTTGTCATGCACAATAAATGTGCGATAAATATCCGAACTCCGAAACACTAGCTAGCGGGTTTTTGGTGCATCGAATACAGATAATTAAACGATCACGTTGAGTCGTTGTCTTACTTGAATTTGTGCACAAATAATAGTAGTCCTGGAGTTTATCGGTTGCAGTTGATGGGTTGACGTGTCGGCTAGACCTCGTCAGCGAACCTAAAACCGTTTATTTAATTTCAGAGATAAACCTACGTGGATCGCTTAGAAATGTTATACAATCGCATCTCAGGTCTTATGCAGAACCTACGTATAATAAAACATATACGTTTGCCTCGACCGGGAGTATCGCTGATTTACATATTTACGGCTTAGCTTACGTTTCAGATTTTGATTAAGAGCCTCGTCCAGCTGATCAAAGGTGGAATAGCGAGATTTAGCGTCAGGCATAGGATGGCTAAGGTTCCAGTTTCCACAAGCGAATTCATAGAAGTCGTTACATGGATTGACGTTTCTGCGTTTAAAAACGTGTATTTGTTGCGCAAGCTATTTTAATAAATATGTATTTACTGATTATAACCGATAATACTGTGACACGGTGACATAGGTTATGCTTAATTTGGTCATTGCTGTCGTTGTAAGATTAAAAAACCAATAATTATTTTACCTGTTCATATTGGTAACCAAAGTGCCCGCTGTAAAACAAATAATAGGTTGTAGTGAATAATACTCGCAAATGAATTTTCTTAGCTCGTACTGAGCATTTGTAAGCACATTATTTATGAACGAATATAACTTAAAATACCTTTATTCTGTACTAAACAGTATTTGGTAAAGTATAATTTTGGTATACATGTAAAACTGTGACAATACAGCTTGACTGACCTGCATGTACGCATTCTGGTGTCAGACAAACCCTGATGCTTCGGTCCACTTTTCCCTCATTCGGATCTGGAAATAAACAGCTAGTAAGATCAGGTACAGTTACACTATATTTTTATTTTTAACTACTCCTACCGTGACAGCAAAAAGCAGTTACAAGAAGTAATCCTGACATACCTCTGGTCACTTCCTGGACGTACAGGACAATGAAGGCAATGGACAAGGCCAGCAAGACGACAATAGTCCCCGCAATATATCGGCTGGCATTGGACTTCCTTTTTGTGGTATCAATGATCCTGACAAAGTCACAGAATTATTTTACAGGTTCCGTAGTCATCTTGTCTTACTCTATAAAATCAGTTATTAAAACAGTAAAGTATTTCTATGTACTTACAGCTCTTGGCTTTCGTTCCGTTTCTGCACGGTGATGGTCATTTTTGCGGTGTTTTGTAAAGAACCCAGTCAATTAATTACAAAACCAAACGAAAATGAGTTGGGCTACTCCCGGAAGAGCTAATGCTGATAGGATTCCGTTGTAGCAGTCAAAACGGAATAAGGAGGGCAGGTACAGGCATGTGCGTGATTGTCATAATCCGAGCGATTTTACAACACTCATTTCACCGATAACAACGACAATTATTTGTTTGTCGCTTATCCGATAATTATATAGTGAATTAATGGAGGCGATAACGAAACAGATTAATGGAACAAGTTAGTACCTGCCTGATAACGATTACCTTTTCTACTCACTAGCGAAACCAATCACGCAATTTTCGCTGTATATTAAGACTAGATTCTCTCTTTATGTCTGTACATACATATACAAATATCGTTGTGCGATAACAACGGTATATTATAATTGGTGCTTATATTGCATAGCTTTTATAAGTAGCTCAGTAGATTTGATTCTGTCGCTTTTCGTACACCGTTAACGGCATAATTATCTTCTGTCGTGTAAATGTGGTAAAAATATTCATTTTGTCAGACAATTTAAAATGCAGTCTTGTCCATCATTTGTCAAGATGAAAAGTAACCTGTCATCTTTAACTCGTATTCTTGGACCAAACCTTATGGTTAACTAGGGCAATAAAGTCTGATCATCGTATGTTCCCGTCCGCTAAAACAATAGTAACAAGCAAATTGCCGCAAAAATTATTACCTTGTACCTTAAGTTTGGGTCACAAGCAAAATAAAAATAACCGGTTTCATTGTTCGCGTTTATAGTCATGTTACGAATAACTTCAGTGAAAATGTGAAAAACAGATGCCGTACTGCCACGTGCTCGAACAACAATACTGCAGAAACAATGTTTTGAAGTAGAACCAAATCGCGCAAAGTAGTTTTTTAGGAATTTTCTTTTAAAAATTTGTAAAGTGTTTTGGTTTTAGGTCGACTAGAATTCGAATGAAAGTCGTTGCTCCATTTGGACGCTGTCCGCTTTCTACCGCGATTATTGTAGCCTTACGCTCTCAAAAACTGCCGGAAGATTTTAAAACGGCAGTTCTCCAGTCTTTCGCATTTCCTAATTAAGTGCACGAGTATTATCCTTTACTCGTTGTGAAGGCTTGACAACCTTTTGTCATAAGTTTCAGCATTCCCTGTTCATACTTCAAACTACAGTACATAGTTGTATGGGATGTCCATATATTTTTTTGGATACTCTTTTTCGTACTGCATACAAATTTTAGGAGTACGATGATTACTGATTAGCAATGCAGAAGTGAGATCTTTTAGTTGCATTTTTGTTGTTATTCGCGATATCTGCCGCCGCAGATGAGAAGCTTAGATTTCAATATATGTATCTCAATACGCTGAAATTATAACAATTAACAAACAAGCGCATACATGTACATGCAACGTGTGAATAAATTTTCAGTGAATAAGCCATTTCGGTGGGTGTTGCATGCACATAAATACAATCTGACGTGCAGTTTCTGCGTACAGAACAACCCATGACCAGTACGATGAAATAAAATGGAAAATACCACTGTAAACTTTTATGGATTGTCTCCCGAGTTATGGCTGCGCCTGCTCTAATTTTGGGATCAAGGGGTCAAGTTCGAATTCAGTGAGGAGATGACTGGGCAGAACGAACTCCGTGCCATAACATAAGATACTTACATTTCCGCAATCAAGACATTTGTAAGCGGATGACACCTTTGGGAGTCGCCAATCTGGATCACTTTAAAACTTTGCCTCAGCGTCATCTCCGCGCTGTACACGCGGACTTTGTTTGGTGTATCGTGTACGTTGACTCGGTTCGTTATATACTCTTACCATAGTACGAGTATCGCAACGACCATTCCACAAGCAACTGTACCTGCGTGCACGTCTGTGATTCATGGCCTTCCAATGACGTCAAATTAACTGGTGGTGACGTAAATGTCAATTTTTAACTGGGAATGATATCTGCTTATTAGTACAGTACACCACAGCACATAAAATTAGTTTATTACTGCACATTTTATCGACGTGTAATAATATTATGTAACATTTTGCAATGACCTATAATACCCTGACGCAGAGTACTGCATGTAGGATCGATCTGCATAAAAATATTTTATTTATATTGTAATAAGCTAAAAGCTCGTATCTGTGTACGCAACCATTAGGCGATGGCGCATGCAAATGTCGGCACCGCAAAAATCACATATAGCCTGTTTGCATACGGATTATCGTTTTTTAATGACATTATCGCCTTGCACGTGGAATTTGCCAACCGGAAGCGGTGTGGTTAGATGCTAAGTTTGCTAAACGTATCCCAAGCACGGTCACATGGAAGAAACGTTTTATGTTGGGCACATGACTGGAATTGCCACAGACAGTGGATCACTTCCTGATAATTTTCTAGACAAACTTTCTACGATCGCTTTACACGGGCTTGCTGCATTAAAGTGTCGCATTTGAGTGACCCATCGAATTTCATTCCATTTCACATATTCCATTACAAATATCATTTTTGCAAAGTCATAGCGTCGAATGTGAGAATGAATAATCATATGTTCACACTGGGTTCTGTATTGCTCAAAGTACCGTGATATTATTGACTATATTTTATTGTTAAGCGCACATGGATAAAAGTTCACATCGACATTTATGTCAACTGTATAAAACAGTTGGATTATTTTTTATATAAGCAGACAGACAGACAGCCGGTATGAGAACATGTATTGAAAACCGTTGCATCATAATTATTAAGAACTGTGCGAAGTGTTATAAAAGTTCTTCAACAAAATAACTTTGAAGAATTATCGTTTAACTCCAACGGAGTCATGAGATCCAATTGAGTCATGTTTTTTTTTCAAATCGGCGGGGAATGTTTTTCAGTGCTGGCGTTGTGGCGGGAGTTCGTAATAGGTTTATCCGGGATTGTCTTAGATGTCCGTGTACTCATCGGGGAGACCTAAGCGGTAAATCCAATCGCTCAGTAATAATTACGACAATGGTGGAATCTTAAGCAGATAATGTACCTATGGTAATTTGGCCAGTTTATTTTGATAGCTGCGTACAAAACATTAGCAAACGCATTCCTTTATATCAAATAAATGTCGGAAAATTGTTGTTAACATTTTTTCAATATATCCGGATCCGGCTAAAAATTTGTTAATGCAAACTTTAAAGTTAATGGTTGGAAAAACTGATGCGGTCAAAGCATTTTAACGGTATTAGATATGTGGCATGGTGCATGCTTCAATAAGTGTGTGAAATTAATTGCGAATTACCGAAGATAATCCTTATATACATAATTATACAGCGGCATACCAGTATTGTCCACCGGTGAGTTCTCGTAATACGTGGCGCTTAGTAGCCTAGCAGCCGAATCCAAGTATTTGGGAATGCCATTTCGGAATAATTTCCCATTCATTCCTGGATCGCTTAACGATCCCGTGTCACTGCTTGGATTCTCCAAAGACGGTCTGTAAAGACATAAAGAAACATTTGTTCATTTCGACTGCCTTCGGATAACATTTGGTTTAAGCTGTTACGTGATCCAGAAAACAACATTGCCGGTGACCTGATTTATTTTTACAGCTACCTCACCCACATATAGATCCTTAAATTATTCAGGTTCGAAATAAATAGTGTGGAAAATAGCTCTTTGGAATTAGTAGGATGGAGTAAAGATTGTTTTTGACACTTGATTATGATCGCTGGTAACCGCGGTAGAAACGGCAATTAAAAGCTTTGCATCGATTACAACCGGCACAAGTACACATGCCGGCAGTGCCGACTGGCGTGTCCCGCTACAACCGTTAAATCCTGCCGACAACCTTTCCGCTGCGATTATGGAAGTAATGTTTTTCTGAACGGGGAGTGTATAGTGGCTGCTTATCCTTTAAGATCAAGATGTTCCCATCATTCTTTCGTGGTAGGGAGGACTTTGTCTGCTGTCCTACTTGTAAGCGCAAATCACCCGTATCATCTTACGTTAGCGATGAATGGGCGTTAAACAGATTGAATTTTTTCTTCCTTTAAACACCGATTTTTACAGTAATGTTGTTCAATCTGATTATATAGAGGCACATTGTGCATCGTAAACTTCCAGTATACGCCGCACTAAACATCATACTAACGACACCAAAGCATACTGTGCATTGCTGAAATGCAAATACTTTGTTGTTCCGATCGATGATACAATACTAAATGTTACGAGTTGAGGTTTTGTTGGTAGTAAGGGAAATGGAAATGAAACGCCTTTTTGCTTGTTGGTTTAATGGGTTTATCCTGCATTATGCAAATCCTCCTTATTTACCGTTTGATTATTTGGGGGGAAAAGTTTAAATTTAGCGTCTAACCCACCTAAGCCACACATAATTTAGCTGTGAGGTTAAATTACTTCATCCAGGCGGGGCCGCTCTGACGCCGCAAGGTAAATTACTCAAAGGTCACGGGTGCCGGCACGCCTATATTGGGCAACCAACAGATACCTTACACAACCTGCGTATCCCGGGAGAGGATAGCGTGAACTCATTATGCAACTGTCAACATGGCAACAGTCATTGTAAAACCCTCTCGTTATTTCCGGCCATCGTCCCAGGTGATGGGCATTGTGGAAAAATGACAAGTAAAAATAGTACAAAAACACACAACAGTGGGCTCTAACGCGATAGCTAAGCGGTAACAATGCCCAACCGGATGGAATCGATATCCGGGGTTAATGATACACAGGCCTAAGGACGCGCTGTAATAATGCAGCGCGTCAAGTGACTTACTTAGGTGGAAGCACGCTACGTTTCGATGAGAACAAGGCCAGTCCGCAGGCACAATTCCCGATTACTCCCGAAAACCCGGTCCGCCTACAGAAACCGGAACAGCCGTCCTTGGACATCTCCACATAACCGGGACTGACCAGCAGCATCATCAGCACTACCAACACCAGCATCTTATGCGTGGGCCACCACTGCGCGCAACGGTCAAACGGCAACATGATCAAGCGTTAAATGATAGGATAAAGTTCAAAATGAGCCGCAGTATGAAACCGGTATTACATAGCGGATTAAACGGGATAGGGAGAAAAATTGGCAAAGGTGACAAGCTGGCAGTCCCGGGTCAGTTGTTGGCCGAATATATAAAAGGTTGGCTGCCAAGTGTGTCTCGCTTTACGTGTGTGTGTCGTTGAATAATTGACGCACATATAATGGGAGAGTACAAGCCGTATCAAATGTGCTTGTTTGCCATGGGTGAAAAACTTGACGACACCAATGTAGCGGATTTGACAGTTTTTCCCTAGGATGTCATGTAGGACGAAAGACAAGGCGCTTAAAATTGGTGTTAAGGCAGTTGTGTAAAGCGCGCGCGCGTTTGCCGGGACCAGTTGGTGTTTAGTAACGTTCACAGCTCTATACAACGGTTGTAAACTGATCTGGTCGTTTTCTACGGACCCGACGCGATGATGGGGCTGCATATATATGTAGTTAAACGGTGGTGAACCACACCGGCGTTGTACAGGATGGATACTGCATAACCGTCCCGGAAAATAAAAACTGGGAATTTTATTCCCTGTGAGCAAATTGCGTGGAGCGTTGTACATGGAGTACTGCGCGCGCGTAACCGAGTAATGATTGGCAGGGCGTGGTCGCTGGCCTGATGGCAGCGCGCGCCTGCGGTGGCTACGTAGACCGGCTGATTCGGTGTTTGTGGTTTGTTTGGTGGATTGCGCAGTTGATGGTAGAAGAAGTGTTTGTATAATCTCCCGTACTTAATCAGATTGCCTTATTATTTTAACCACCGGAACCGTCTTTTTCGCGCGCTGTTGACATTAGAAGCTTTGAGCAACTGCTCCACTTAACCATAGCCATACACTTAACCATACTATATGGTTAAGTGCGAGCGTATGGTAAGTGTGAATACCATACAAACGTGTCGTATGGTGATGGACTTTCAAAGGCTCCCCTTAACACCTGCCCAATTTAACTTCCCCAGATATACACTTTTTGAATAGAGAAAACATTTTTGAATGTAAATGTAATTTTTTGGAAAGAGATCGTTTCACGCAGTGCGAGAAAACAAATTAAATCTGAAGGGACCCAGAGTCAGCTATGCGCCTTCGCTGAGTACTTTGTACACTGCTACCTCGATGGCGGTCGTCCAACTACACGATAAGGGATGGTTAAGGTATGGTTATGGTGTTTTCTGCTCAAAGCCTCTATTGGTTGCGGGTTTTGCCACCGGTGAGGTGTGCGGGATTGCGCGTTCGGCACATCTTTTCCATTAAAAGAGTCACAGGCGGTGCTGTGCGTAATTTGAGGTGGCAGGTCAATTTCGACATTGGATAAGTGTGCCACAGAATCAACAGTCTAGGCAAACTGTGTTCGCTCTGCAAAAAAAGCTTTCGACATTTTAAATCCTTTGTACCATAAACAGCATAGGTTAATAATCAACAGTAATGCCCTTCGAAGAATGTTGGTAATAATAATACGTACGTAGGTATCAGTACATTAATAAAAGGTAATATTAATACATATAATAAAACAACATAATTTACTCTTTTTAAAATATCAATTTTTGTCTTCACAAGAGCATAAAAATTTGTCACCATATATTTACTGGACTTTTGCTAAATCTCAGCTGTGCGGTTTAATTCTGTGTGGATTACGTAGAGTATGCTATCTTGTGCTTGACGAGAAAAACACTTTTTTAAGAAAACGACTAGTACTCCAGTTTTGCAGTTGTTCCATGTCGGTTATATGAGCATATTACAACCGTCTGCATTTTCTGAAGCGTCCACAAATTCTACGCTAGAAATTTTTTACGTTTAGAAAACGTAAGGTGTTTCTGCAGCAGAAAGTTTGATGACTGCAGTTTTGTTGACAACATGTGGGGTTCGGAGTAAGCCGGAAATGTAATGGACAGAAGCATTTTGTCCTAGCTATTTACCCAATTAGGAAGAGGAGAAAATAAATTCTCCTGTGGTTGAAGCGGAAATGATTTAACACTGTCTGCAACTGGTGCACAAAAACGTTTTCATATGCATTGATCGTGGTAGAGCCTGCACTGGTGGCGTTTGCTCATTTTTGCCAGCACTGCATGCCGGGTTTGGGATTCAGAATTTGATTTCACAGGCCTAATTACATATTCGAATAATATAGAAACAGTTTACAGCCTGCAAATTTTATGCGGTACCAAAGCGTTTGTAGTTAATTAACGTAAACTAAAGGAAAATGGCCCGGTACATAACGTTAATAATGGGATACATACACTAAAACTTTCGACTTTATGGCCATGTGTCGTTTGCAGCAAAGTTTCAAGAAGATCGGGTAATAACCAGATTTTTGGTACACAACAATGCATTTAAAGTTTTTACCCATTTTAGTGCGTCATATCTCGGCAACCGTATGTTGCGCGCGCAAACGGCTTTCAGAACAATGTATACAAATCATATACTGTAGCTTTAGAATGGCATAAAGTATTACAAAAAGGTGATTTGGAGTGCGCGAAAGCGAAAGTTTTAGTGTGTGTATCCCATTTTTGACACCATGTACCGGGCCATTTCCCTTAAAACATAATGCAGAACTTATAATTAACGTTTTACTTGATATTTATAAACAAAATTTGTACAATAATTTAAATGCATTTAAACTCTTTTCATTTCCGCATGCCCTTAACTTTAAAACGTAAATTTGAACTTCTTTACTGTAGCAAATTTCTTTCCACAAACGGATATACGCGCTGTGCTCTACACGTATTTATGGCATGCATGGCACATGTATTGTAACTGCGAACTTAAAAAAAATGCAACGAACTTCGAAGTAAATGCAATGTCCAGTGCATTTTTACAGATTTTTCCAAAATAAAATTAATTATGACACCGTATACGGAAACGTTTGATCTACGATTTTAGCAGCACCATCAGTGTGGCTTTCACCGCACACGTTTATGCGAAAGCGATTAATTTAAAACTGCAGCTCTGTAAAACATCATTACTGTACGTTATGCAATATTTTCGGTAAATTTTGGCAGGGTGTTGTTTCGGTCAACCCCAATGTATTATTTACAAGACAGAGGTTAATACAAAAGTTCAGGCAACAGAAAACAAAAAGGAATAACCAGATTCGGAAATATGATTGCATCCATGCCAAACAAGGATTTCAGAATAAGTCTTTCAGCATTTCGTGTCAGTTGCATGTTTTTGTATATACAATTACCCCCTCGTCCATTTCGGGCGCACAGTATCGCGGTCGTCACCGTGGGCATTTTGTGTCACTGCTTTGGCAGTGGTGCGCCGCTACGTGCCACAGCTGGAACTGAGGAATCAAAATTATTAATCTTTAATGTAGCTAACATAAATGTCCATATTTATGTAATCTGCGTTGTGCAAAAGGGGTATGTATTTGCGCTGATGCCGCTGAATATACAATTAAATGTACCATTAAGAATATTTTCCTTGTATCGAGGTATATAAAACAATCAGCGTATGTATCATTTTAGATCACAAATTCAAAAATCTTGCACCGCTCTTCAACTTTAATTCGAAACAACTAAATATACAATTACTCCTCGTAGTAGTTTACTTTTTCAAGAGTAATTTGATTTAATACTGTACACCTTTTGCTGACTGATTGCATTATCTCAAGTAATAATTCTGTATTTTAGTGGTAACTTATTACAGTAACTTACCATTCTAGCATTTGCAGACAATCTGCAGCACCCGCGTCTGGCATGCGGGTCCTGCCGACTCGGGCATCGCCGTGTGAGTGTCATATAGTATTACAGTAATACAGAGTATAATCGCCGAGCCTCACATCCAGCGAACTGGGCGTGTCGTCGTGTTCTTAATACGGTCGTTGTCGGATATACTGTATATGAGATACGTTCCGTCAGGTGTTGTTAAAAATTATTTCTTAATTTTAATGATAAATATTCGGTACCGATGGCTAGGCATTTTTTGCTACCACAAACAACCGAACACATTACTTCCATCAGGGTGCCAAATTATCAACGACAACGGGCACGTTACGCCGGGCTTTTAGAAACTACCAGGACAGAGAATTTTTGCAGTAGGTCTATTCTTTTGATTCGGATGTTCTCCGTTGTGATAGTGGCAATTGCTGTGGTCTGCCAGACTGAATAAAAACAGTATTTGTTTTTTAAATCGAAAATCGTGCTTTTCCGGGTAGTTTTGGCTGATATTCTTGCCGGTGGGTTCGACGTGAATACCTTAAGTTAACTGCGTCGGCTTGTTACATCTGAGATACCCGGTAAAGGCAGAAGCTTTACATTGGGCTGCAGAGCAATATCGTTAAAAATTTACTTTGTATTTTAAACGGCATTTTGGTTTTCTAAGCAGTTCGCTCAGTTCGATTGTTTGTATCAGTTTTACGACAAAACTAACCATAAGGGAGACGATCCGTGCTTCATATGAATATTGGAAGTGTAATAATTATATACTTTACAAAATAATGAAATTGATAGTTTGATATGTTACCAGTTACGTAGCAGACATAATTATTAATGAGATATAATAGTTAACGTCCCTAGTCACGCGGTTATAGTGGAACTTCTATCCATTAAACTCGGTTAGCAGACACTTTTAATTTACAAAAATCAATCAAGAAAGCAAAACGCGATCAGGAATATTCAAAATTTATACGGCAAATGCCAGAATTAGGTAAAATGCATCTGCAGCGTACACGCTGCGTAAAATACAAATGCATTAAGCTAACGTCGCATATGCATTAGAAAATAATAAAAATTTTTAGTGCTGTATCGTCCAACATTTTAAACCGTGTATTCACATTCTTCCCAAAGCACCTGCGCTTCGCCTCGGACAACAGCCAGAATCAATCGGTGCATAGAACATTCGGTCGATTGACTTGGTAGAAACATTCTTCAACTATCGTATTTATTTGTATGCTTTTCCATTTTCTTTCTGTAACGCAATCTTTACCTTTTCTAAGACAACCTGTGTTTATATTCTAATTGTTTCAGCTTATGCATAGTCTACATCTGCAAGGTATCCACGCGCAACTGCATGAAATATGGGCAAACTTTTAAGCTTTTTTACCAGTATGAATACATTCATTATGTTGCAAAGTTGAAAGTTGAAATTAATTGCATTATGCAGCGTTTTGCTTGCCGAGTAGAGTGCCATTGACGTTTAAGCGTCAAGGTCTTGTCTACACTGCCACGAATATAAATTATGAGTGTCGTATTAATTATTAATTATTACTGTTGCATTGCACTGTTGCAGTTTGGGTCTTTGATAATGCGTGCACGTGTGCGCATGCTTGACAATAACTCGCGGGTTCAAACTCGTGGCACTTGCAGAAGACGGCAATAAATTTCGCAACTTGATTTCGGCTACAGCTGTGAATGATGCGGCAAGGGGATGGGCAGTTGGGCACTTTGTTTGCAAACAACAACGATCGATGTGGTTTGCCGGCGCATCAGAGGTGAAATGTAGTGTTACAGCTGGCCGTCATCATATTCAACAATTACTTCTCCACGCGGCATGAGCCAATAATTGTTAATGTATACGTAAGAGTCGCTATGTACTCGTATAAATATTAATAAACGTTTATTTAATGGCTCCAGTCTCTACGGAGTGCGATTTGCAGTATTGAAAGAAAGATTTTGTGGACGTGAAAAGGCAGATTAGGTGTCTACAGAGTATAGTATGTATTTCTGTTCTACTGTTCTTGCATTTTGTATTTCCGGTATCTTCTGGGGCCTTCACATAGTAAGAGCAATAACTGTCGTTTCTTCTGCTTTATGCAAACGCTTGTGGATAAATTTGTGCCACAGTTCCAATTCAGACCGCACAGTTACGCTTTGCGAAGCGATTTGACACACAAATGCAGTTCGCCATTTACCACTTCAGTTTTCTGCAGGTTCGTTTGATATCGCAGAAATATTTACTGCAATAAGGAAGTACGTATTCGATGAATCCCAAGGCCACCCTCGATCGTTGCAATACCTGTAGGTGAAACTGCGGGTGTGCATACCTGTAACTCTATTACTGATCGCAAGTCAAAGACATTAAATTTTGACATACGAAGAAGTGATTACGTTTACCTTCTGGATACAAGAAGCAATATGTAGCCGTAGTGCATACATTCCCCTTTATCTTCTTTGTTTCCACTTCGCAAATTAAAGTTAGGTAGGTGAACTTGAGTCAACGAATCACTAAACATAACGCCTAATGCCAATTAATCAATAATGTTGCAAAAATTGTTACACGGAAAACCTACGGGCCACAAGTGTGCAGTCACTCAGGCATATTAACATACTATCATTTGCTAATAGACGGATGTGCACAAAATACCGCATACGGCCAAAAAATACTAATTTGCGTGCATCTACAAGTGCCATTTTAAATACTTCGCCATTTTCTCGAATGCAGCTTACCAGCCCAGGGCGAAGGATTGCCTGGCATTTTACACGTTTTCAGGCGATGCGATTAGGGTTTTCTCGTTGAAAGCACCAGGAAGATACCGGCCAAAAGCACACAATTTACAGTTTAATAATACTTTGATCTATTCTGGCAAATCGCAGAGTAAGTCACTTCCCCAACGGATACCATAGATGTCGCATGAACAGAATCTGCTCAGAAATTATTTATCATGTAAGCCGGCAGTTTCGGGAATCCCGGTGTTGGGTCCCAGTTGGCCATTTGGCGCTAATGTGATTTTTTCGAATAAAAACACGCCTTGAAAACCTCACTGATGTGTTGTTAAAATCCCGCTCTTCGGGATAAAACGCTTTGGTATATGGTATCAAGATTAACACAAAGCGCGCAAAGTTTATTATGGAAAAACTGTAGAGATACAAAAGCTGCATTTATTTTTAAGTTACAAACGCAGATAAGCAAACGCAGAGCTAAGCACGCTGCATTTATTTTTAAGTTCAGTCATGCTGATTGCGGTTTCAGGGCACGGCTACTTGTAGTGTACAATGCATGCGTTATGATTACGGAGTGGAATTTGTTGCAACTAAAACATTAAGATTTACATTTTTATGTTAAAGGTACAAAGAAAAACAAACGAGGAAAAACGAAGCTGCATAGATATTTTGTAAACCGCTAATGTAGCGACAACGGAGAACCTTCTGTTTGCTCCTCCTCCTATTTGACTGACATTAATTATTTTTAATAAAGCTTATAATTTAATAGCATTATTAATGACTGCCCTTAACATTTTTTCTGCATCCGCAATGAATTCGGCAAAAGGGTCAACTGATACTTGAGCTCGCATGCAAAAACGAGTGACGTAAATCCATCTAGTAAATTAATGTATCAAAAACAGTTGGCAATTAATGCATAATTTTGCATTATGTTACCGATGGACGGCACATGTCTCACTTCTCACCGCTGGCATTAATCTGTTGTCCGAACTCTTGACATTGCGCTGTATCTGTAGGTGCAAACGCATTCAGCTGCTGGTGTATAAAAGTGTATCCTTAAATTCCGCTTTGTATTTCTGACTTTGAAATCTCCTGTTGGAGCAACCTCTCGTTTTTTTTACACAATATCATGATAGCAAAAATTCTCACGCTCTGCCTAGCGGTAAGATAGAATTAGTATTAATTATTCCCGGATGGTACCTAGTAATCTTAGAGCTTTACCACAGTAATCCGAGTTAATTTCCGATGATGTTACGTCATGTACTTATCGTTATTTGCGATGGTTACCGAAATTGACTTTAGGGTCATGCCATTTTATTGTGATTCTTTTTTACCAGTTAGTGCAACTTCATTAGCTTGTGCACTGTTCTAAGTAATAGTAGAATAACTGATTACATGCAAAATTATACTGTCACGGTGAAAAATTCGAAACGTTGAATAAGACAAAATTATTCTTGTTTATCAGCGTTATGTACGTTACTTAAACAATGCTTGATATCCGCTACATATAACCGTACCTGCTTTGTTAATTTAATTTTTTATGGTGCTGCACAAGATGGTTATTGCGGTAGTACTGGTTACGCATAACGGCATAGGCAGTATCTAATAAATGGATTTTTTCCGTGTTAGGTTGTTCTGGTGGCAGCTGAACTTTCGGACGACGAGCCCAGTTCATCACGTGTGAGCACCAGTGATATGGACACCGGCAATTTCAGAACTGGCATGGCCCGCCAAGCGCTGATTCCATACAGAGAGTTTCTGACCGTACGGTGCACAAAGGGTTATTCGGTGGCTGTCCATGGAGCATGGTACGTGATGTTGAGCGACGACGAACTGGAAGCCATGGAAACCGATACCTGCAAACACTCGGACATTCCCGACAAGAACCATTTGTGTCCGACGTCCCAACAAAATGAGCCGGGACTTTGTAGGTTATACTCTCGGGATCCTTCTACTAATGCCAAGTGCCGGAGACGCGGAGTGCAGATTGTCTACAACTGCCATAACGGTACGTTGACTATACCGTACTATTTACTAAAATAATTATGTGTAATAAATTATGCAGATACATATCACGAAGCGTTGTGATACAATAATTTAATCAATCAGCAAACGAGAAATAATACTCGGTAGTTCTTGAATGCTGCTACTGGATCCAAAAGATGAAGAACAGTTAAAGATTTTTGCAATTTGTGAACTGAAATACATGTATATACGCGGGTACGCTGATTACTTTTCACCTGCATTCGTACAAAGGAAATTTTTTTAAGGGTACATTTAATTGCCCGTTTAGCGCAGACACCTCCCCTTTTGCACATCGCAGCTTATTATGAATAAATATTTTCGTTAGCCACAAAAATAATAAGACTTATGATTTTCCAATTCCAGCTATGTTACGTTCGTGATGCCGCACCCCCATCCCCACCCGTACAATGGCACAAGTCCCCAAAGCGATGATACTGAACGCCCGAACGCTGAACTTGAAGGGGAAACCATTATACAAATTACAAACATCATGAAAGACCATGGCCATTCGAAATATTTGTGCAGAGTATTGCTTGATGGGAGTCACACTGAATGCTTTCTAAATTAAAATCAGGTTATCCTGTTTCCTTTCTACTGCATAAACTTTGCATTTAATGCACTTCTTCTCTGTAAATGTGAAGGTGAGCCCGAAACAATACACTACCCTATCTTACCGGGAACGCTGTAAAACCTACAACGGATATTCTAGTTGCCTCAAAGTAATCACCTTCGAATAAATGCACGCGCTGGAAATCACACAAATGATGTTAAAATCTCACTTTTAGTGGTTAAACTTTATGGTATACGATTGCATAATTAACCCAAAACCGCGCAGACTTTATTATGGAAAAAATTAACAAATAGCACAGTGAAAACACGCTGAATTTACTGTGAAGTTCATTCATGTTGTACAGGCAAAAGTTACGTGTAGTGGACAAGGCATCCATACTTGAAGTACCGTATGCATGCGCAAGCTGCAGATGGGAGGGAATTTCTATTAGATTAAAAACAAAAATTTATATTTTGAAGTCAAGTTCACCCGGAAAAGCGTATCCCGGAGCTGCTTAAAATTACTGTCCGCAAAAGTCTCCTACATCCGTACTGAATTTAACAAAAATGTCGCTTTTCAGCAGGCGAAATGAGTGACTTGGGCAAATAAGTGACTTGAGTGTTAATTTGTCAATTGTATCGAAAACAGATGATAAAATTAATTCATACAAATAATTTTACGTTATCTGACCGATTGATGCACGTGTAAACGCGGTATGTATCCGCGCTGGCACTTGCCAAAATCTGTTGTCCGAACTCTCGAAATTGCACCACTTCAGTATATCTTTAGGTGAAAAAGCAGTAAAATATGTACATGTGTCCTGACCAGCTGCTGTGTATTACTGGTTCCTTCTGGCTTGAACTATCCTTCGATTTTCAACCGCAAAGTAGCAGAGGTCTTTTGTGCTCATTCCATTATAAAAAAATAGATTCTTTTATTCGGCGTTAGCCAGAACACATACCCAATATTACTAAGCCAGCGTAGTTTTACACTGTTAATCAAATAGATCTAATTTTAAAACATTGAAAAAACATCCAAAATCGTCAGTGCCATTAGCGATCTTATTACGTGCGTTGATTAAGGGTACCCCAACAGCCGCTGCATTTCGTCTGATTACCTCTACAAAGTATATTCAAAAATTAAGGAAAGATTCGGCGAAGTAAAATAAGGAAAGATCCGGCGAAGTTAGGTCCACCTTTTTTTTTTAAAACAGCGTATAAGCCCTGCATTTATTAAGGGCAATGCGGCTGCCGTTTTAGAAACTTTACCGGGCAAGAATAAATTTGTTGATAAAGGTTGTTGTTAATTTGTTGATTTTGGTTGTTTTTTAATTCTTGATTGTGCAGTGTCAGCCGTAGTGATAGAGTCATGAATGTTATGTCGCGATGTAAACATGAATAAAGATTCGTTTATATTCAAAAGTTGTCTAGAAAAGGCAGTAAGCAAGTATAATTAATAGTGTCGTGTATAAGCGTTCACGCCGGTTAAGGCTCCATGAACAATCTTTACTCTTCCACGCCTGTAATGTCAGTCGGTAGGCACTCGTACTCTCAAACTGTAACAGAAGAACTATGGTGGAAATAAGACGAATGAATCAGGAACACGGGAACTCAGGAATCCCTCAGGAACACGCTAACCACAACTTCCGGTCGTAAGTCCTGTGAGGATCGGCAAGAGCTAGGACGATTGTGTCACGAGCAAACCTGTATACTAAGCGATAATCCGGGAACGACTATGCACTTCCGTAGGAACAAGTATTGCTGTCTCTTTATCCAATACACATCACAGTTCACAACGCTAGGAAATTGTAATTAGAAAGCAGTCTCAGAAGTAAATCTCAGACTACTGATACCGATATTAGGCATCACAAGAACTTATATAGACTTCGCGTTATGACATCATATACATCGCTAGTAAAAGAGAACAGCAAATCACAGAAGAGATTGACTAGATTATCCGTTGTGTTGCAGGTGGAAGGCGGACAGTCAGCATCCAGTTCGTACATCCGGCGTATGATCCTACTCCCATACGTCACCCCCACGAACGATGCTTGGCCGTGCCAAAATAAACAATCCATCCCGCAACATCCCAGTGCGATTGTGCACCTGCATCCATCCTGATCCCGATCCACCGCACAATCCACGCGTCCATCCGATGCCCGATGTGACTGTACGCCGCGATTCCCAGAGAGTTAGTGTGGAATCCTTGGCGAAGAGGCATCCGGAAGTCCACGGGTTTGGCAGGGCGGAGGTCCAAGGATCCAGGAAGGCGAATTATGAACTACTGATACTGTGCCGGTTGAGTTTAGATGGTGGTGTGTATGTACAGTATACGGCATAAAGCTTTATTAATTGTGAAATTAAAATCGTAAAATGTAATTATGTGCGATGCTGTAGAACTATGGATTAAACGAGCGAAAAGCACCAAATAAACCAACCAGTAGTATTCTTACGAATTCTCGAGTACTACAAATCACATCGTATAGCAACAAATGTCAACAACAACAAACAAGCTACAAATAAGCGTATAAAAATGGTGAGTGCAATCTACCAGCGCACTGATACAATAATGTAAACCAGTAAAAGACAACAAAATCAAAAGTCAAGGCAGTGCAACAAAGCCAGTAACAATATGAGATCAAAGCAACCAAGGTCAATGTCAGAGGTGAGTCAAGGTTACTTGCCAGCACTGGGAGCCAATGAAAAGAGGCCAGTGATACCAGAGCCAGATGCAGCGGCATCCAAACGGCGAGAAACTTCCGCAGCCAACTGCACGTCGATCAGATCAGCGGATCCACTTCGGCAAGTGGTAACATTTGGTGGCAAACCGGGAAATTCGGCGTTAGCCGGGGCCTGCACAGGTGGAATGACAGCCGGAGGAACGACAACGGCATTCAAGGCTGGTGGGCCATGTAGATTGACAGCAGGGTTGACACCATGGGCTCACCTGCAGCCACATTTCCGTTGCCTTGGACCGGATTCGGTGCATTCGCTGCTTGGTTGCCCGGGTCGTCAACCTCCATGTTTGCGGCGGCAGCTTCCACTGGAGCAACTGGGTGAGCGTCTCCATCAGGTACTTCAATAACTTCCGGTGCGCCCAGAGGTCGGCCATTACGACGCCAATGATCGTTTCCACGACGCAAGTTATTGTCTCCAAAATTCCTATGATTTCCTCGGCCGTACGGACGAAAGTTGCCACGGTAAGCACCACGGCTCCACCCTTCCTCGGTGATTATAACCGGCATTATACTGTTGCTGCTGGTTGGAAGACGAATGAAAATGGCGTCTACCAATTTATCAAAGCACGGTTAGGATCAATAGGCGGCATGCCCAAACTAAAGAAACTAGTGACCTTAAACGCTAAAAGTATAGAGTGAAAAAGCGTGAAATCACGGTCTACACACACTGAAAATCCGGTATGCCAGAAGGCCGAAACGAAAAATCCACAATGCCGATTTCTGCACGCCACTCGCAAGTGATTTTATACGTGTCTGCTAGAGCGAAATTTTAAAGTGCGGCAGATTCCACACAGGTAAGAAAAACAGCCAATCAGCGCTTCGCGCTATATCCTTTTAATTCAACGTAATCAAAGATCAGATCTATCCAGGTACAATTAAAGATTTAACACGGATAGCTGTGCATATACAGCACATGAAGACCAGTTCATTGACTCAAAGCGCGTAAAACGAGAAGAAATAAAAATTCGGACAAAAGCCTCAATAAAATTGTATAATTTCGACGATAGCAGCGGCAGGTAAAAACTAAATGCGATTTAATACTAAAACAAAAGGAGACATCGTCAGATCATGGCAAAAGGGCGATTAAAGCAATACAGCCGACAGCGGCAAATTCACAATTCATCAGAGTGTGGCTGCTGGTTACCATAGACTACTGGTTCCGCAAATTCAGGTGAATCTTCCCGGGGGACAGCAGCAAGAGGGGGCAAAGCTGGAACAGCCGGCTGCAGAGACGGCAAGGGATCTACATCCATCTTCTCCAAGTCAGATCCAACGTCGCCCTCACAATCAACTTCCATATCAACGTTCTCATCAGCTTCAACATCAGCGCTCTGATCAGGGGATAATAGAGCCGAAGGGTCCTCACGGTCCTCCCCATCATCCGAAACGGAAACTTCACTTGGCGCAGAAGACGAGGACGGCGAGACCTCCTTGTACTTGCGCTTTTCCCCACGAGTGCGAAAATTATATGGTCCAGCAGAAGTGGATGGCTGCGGTTCCGCATTCATCATAGCACCGGCATCGACCACCGCTTGACGAGCCACCGCATCACGCTGCTGACGATTGGCGATTTCTTTAAATAGACCAATAAAAACAGGGTTGAGATAGAGATATTGGCCTCGTAATTCAAGAGCGATAGCCGTAGGAAGCATCCGAGTGAATGTACATAAGTCAAAACGGTGAATCAAAGCTCCATCACGGAATAAAAAGCGCGACAAATATAGACGTGGATAAAAAGGATGAAAGCGGTTTAGTCCAGAAAAATAGGCTTCAGACACAGCCAGCTCACCCTGCTTATCCACGATAGCCATTCTTGGAAACACTCCGGAATGCGCTCGTTTGCGAGCCGTCTGCTTGGTCTTAAAGACCGGCCGCGGTGCATCCGGGTTATAGGGCGCATATAAAATTCCGCCTTTACGCAGATGCTCTTCATCTGACATAACAAGAAGCAACAATTAATACCAGCGAGGCAAAGAATTATCCTCGCGAAACCGTATGACGGATATGCAACGAGAACAGACTAAATATCCGTTAATTGAAGTAGGCACACCAGACAGATTTATAACAGGACAGATTGGAAATTTAGGCTGATAAATGCGCGCAGAAGCAAGCAAAAGTGAATACTAACATTATCATTAAACCAAGAGAACCAAAACAACAGGGTATTGTGGAAATACCTCGCTTTGCTCGCACAGACGGAGTTTCGGAAGATGATGGCTCCTCTTCAGTCAAATCAGGAGTGCCCAACTGTCTTTCAGCCTGTGTCTGCAATTTCTTTGGTGACGGCTGAGGAATCTCAACGTCTGGACTGGTAGGGAATGATCCCCGACGGGCACGGCGGCGAACCACAGCAGCATTGCGTCGTAAAATCGTTCGTCGCC